CGCCGCCGCCGCCGCTGCTGCTACTGCTTCCAACTCCCATACTCATACTTCCGGGCATGCGCGACGATGCAACCGGACCTTGGCGCGGCCACCCCATGTTGTACGCGGCCGGCCCCGAGGCGTGTGGTAGTGGGCCCGAGGAGCTCAAGAGCGGGTTTTGCGACCATTGGAAGGGGAGGCAGATGTTGATGAGGGCGCAGACGGCCTGGACGCCGTTGTCGTGCTGCGCGTGGTCGAGGAAGTAGCGCTGGCAGCTTTGGTACGCGGGGTGCCATTCGAAAATGTCAAAGTGTGGTTCTGCGGCTGGCTGGGGTGGTGGTGCTGATGCGTGCGCGTGCGGCGACTCTGCTGTTGCTCCTCCTCCTCCGCCTGACGATGAGCTGCCAGCGCCGCTATTGTGGTGCGCAAAAGGCCCGCTGCTGTTGCTGCGTGCTTGAAAGGTTGGGTATCCCGCGGGGAAGTTGGTGGTAAAGCCGGGTAGGCTTGCCATGGTGAGCGGTACTACTGCAGGAACGGCTGAAAACAGGTGTCGGGCTCGGTTGATTCTAGGTTGCCTCTGGTTTTTGGTTGGCTGGGTTTGTTCGGGTTTTGTAGCAAATAGTAGAGAGAGACAAGGGGGTGCGTGCGTGCAAGTCGGGGGAAGTGGGGAAAGATAGGAAAGATAGAAAGTAGGACTCGGGGCGTTTTTGAGGCAAAGAAGCACGCAAGGTCGCGACTTACCGAGTTGCTTGCCGTAGAGGTGGAATTTCGCAAGCTCTATTGGCAGATTGGTCGGGGTATTTTTTTTTATAAAATACAAACGCGGGAGGGAGGGGGGGAAGAAAAAGTAAAGGGCAGGGTCTCAGGGTCCAAGGGCAAGATTGTGTGTGGTGAGCAAATAAGATCAATGACGAAACGATCTGGTGGGAGACGAGGTCAGTGCCGCTGGACGAGTATTGTCGGGTCGAGGGATGCAAGATGGATGGGATAGTGGCGGTGGGGTGGGAATTGAAAGAGGAGGTGCGAAGTGGAGAGCGCTACAAGATGCTTTATATTGGCGAGAGGATGAGTGTTTGTGGCCATGAAGTTTCCCATCTAGTACTTGGTTGTATGGAGCGGTGGCTTCGGTCGCGGCCGCCCAGTTTTTGCCTCGAGACGGCCATCCGAGCCTTATTGAGATGGAAGCAATTTTGGAATAATCCCGGTGGTGATCCAGTCGAGGCGCCTCGGCTCTAACATGAGTTCTGATGTGGAGCCCAGCATGGTGACTATGCGTTCGCGGGTTCGCGCATGGTTGACGCCCCCTGCCAAACCAGTCTACTATGCTAAACCACTGTACGCGGGCGGGCGGGCGAGTCGTCAACCCTGCGCCTCTGTACTTACACAGTTACATAGCAACATGGATTCTTCGCCATGTCGTTGGCTGCTCTCGTGTTGCGCCCTGGCCTGTGGTTGCACACCTCTCTCGTTCTGTTTCCTTGTAGCCGCAAAGGTTATGCCGGACCATGCATGGCCCTTGGTCCGGGGGAGAGGATGGCGAACGAGGCCAGATGCAGGCGGCGAAGCCGAGAGATGCGTGCGCATTGGATTGCAATAGATGGTTACCCCAAATCGCAAACGGGGGTTTGCTCGTATCTTGGAGTCGTCAATCGCGGGAGAGTGAACCATGGCAGTGGGTTATGCGACGGATGCACATGTAGCCGGAAAAGCCACAATAGAATGCGGCCACCAGTGCGCGGGCTTGCATTCATTCCAGGGCCGTGGTAACCCACCATGAAAGTTGCCCAAGGAGAAGATGCTCGCCGATCCCATGGGGTCCAGGCTTTTCAGCAGATGTGAGGCTGCCATGGTCATGCTGTGTAACAAGACATGGTCGCCAGGCCTCAGAAGCCAGGCACCGAGGAAGTGTCCGTCGGCGTGATACATGTCAGTAAATCGATGTACATGTGTATACACATACGAAATGCAGCTAGTGTATACAGACCGAAGACGCGAACAACAAAGGTGAAGATAACTTGGTACGTGCGGGTGACATGTTAAACCCCTGGCCGCGATCGCGATCGCGATGGTTATGGTTCAGCCACCCCACCCCCCGGCCACAAGCGGGCCATGATGTAACCAGCATATCACCGAGCAGATCCGTGATGCCGTAGACGCCTATGCCTCACCCCTCTCGGTCGGGCCTTTGCAGCTTCACAACAATAAATTTGTATCCGAGACACTGCCGACCACATTGGCAATGGCCCAGTCGTCCTTTTCATTGGCTTCGCGGACAAAGGTGCGCAGCAGGCGGTTGCACAAGATGGCACCCATCTCTGACCCATGCAGCTTTCCAATGGCTTGTCCATGCCCACCATCCAACTGGGCGTATATTTGACATCCGGCAAGGAAACGTACCAAGCCGTGCGTTGGGCGCTAGAGGTAAGCAATCCGTCTGGTAGTATCTTCCTCGTGACTAGTGCACAGCATGCTTACAACACCAAGGCGGGATATCGAGGGTAAGGGCATCACGGAGGAGCCTTTTGGCCCTCTCCCCAAAACGGATCATGGATGACGCGTGCAACAGGGTCGACTCGGCGCAGATGTACCACAACGAGCGTGAGACGGGCAAGGCCATTAGCGACTTTCTCCAGAGCGAAGCAAATGTGCACTCGCTCAAGCGCGAAGACCTGCACTTCACGTCCAAGCTAGCGTCCAATTCTGCCTACGAAACGGCTCGCAAAGCTATCAAGAGATCAGTCAAAAAAGCAGGGCTGGGCTACATTGACCTTTTCCTGTTGCACTCCCCATATGGCGGCAAGCAAGCGCGGCTGGACAGCTGGCGAGCAGTCGAGGATGCCATCGACGATGGCGAGGTCAGGATTGGAGGCGTGTCCAACTATGGCGTAAAGCATGTGAGTACAAGTACACCGTGTAGTTCTGACCCTGTCTGGACCCTGGCGGCCATTACGAATGGGCCTTTGCTTCACTCCCCGGTCGGGAGGTCCCGTACCTCTCGTTGGTTGGCTTGGCGTGAACACGGAGCCTGAAGAGGCAATTTGTGCAATGGCCTTTCATCCACCAAGTATTGGATTGCGCAGAAACGAGTCATTGCAGCTCTTGGGCACCCGACTTCGCCGGCGTCAGCTGCCTACGTGCGGGGAGTTTTTGTATTATTCGTTTGCTGACCAGCGGCCGACTCTAGTTGCAAGAGCTGCTCGACTCGAATCCGAGGATTGCTCCCGCCGTCAACCAGATTGAAGTCCATCCCTTCAATACGCGCAAGGACATTACCTCGTTTTGTCAGCAGCATAACATTGTGGTCGAGGCATATGCCCCACTTGTTCGCGCCCTGCGGATGAAGCATCCGACCATTGTCTCCCTCGCCAACAAGTATTCCTGTACTCCGGCCCAGCTGCTAGTCCGCTGGAGTCTCCAGCACGGCTATGTGACGCTGCCCAAGAGCGTCAAAAAGGAGCGCATCGTTGAGAATGCTCAGGTTGGGGGCTTCGAGATTGAGGCTGCCGACGTGGAGGCCATGGATGCTCTGGACGAGTACTTGGTGACTGGTACGTTACTCACGTGGCTGCAAGCTGTGCTTTTGTAGCTTTTACTGACAATTGTTTTTCCCCCCCTCTTCCAGACTGGGACCCTACCGACTGCCCTTGAGCGTGGAGGTGGTCAGGTCGCGTGCGTGGGGGTTTGGTAGCCAAGCCGTGGAGGGATGGGGATGCTGTGGTACAATGTACATACATGCGTTTACATACATGCTACCAGCAGACATGGGCAAATCAACCATTATGGAATTGCATGAGACATGTGTACTACAACCACTACATGAAGACTGTGCAGCCCATTTCTCGCCATTACTAACCCCATACAAAGTGTCCAGACAATCAGCCGAGGCAAGCTGTGCAATGCAACAATAATCAAGGTCGAGCATTGATTTACAAAGACATCCAATACTACCGTTACTCTGCTACTAAACAAGTCAGGTTGTCGTGTGTGCATGTGCATGTGCGTGTGCGTGTGCGTGCACATCGGGCACGGGATGCATGGGTTGCGCCTACAGCCCACAGCCCACAGCCCACATGCTCGCGGCGGCGCCCGCCCTCGCCGCCTTATCCTTTGGCCTGACAAGCGACTAGCAAAACCTCAACGTAACCCGCCCTGCCCGCCGACGTCGGCATCCCTCGCGCCCCATGGATGGACAAGTCTTGACTGTCTGCAATTACAGCGCCGCCACCAGCCTGAACTGCCCGCATCCCGCCTGCTACACGTGCGAACGCGCCGCGATACATGGCCTCGCTCCCCCATTGGCCCGTTGCTTATCAGTGCAAAAAGTGTACACCACGGTTTGCATCAACATGGCGCACAGTAGCCTGCCCACGACCATTCAGCGCCTCCCCGCCGCCCAATCGCACGGCCAGTGACGTACTGAATTCGACTACCATTTTGCTCCGCTACCGTCGTCGCAATGCCATCCCGCCAGCGGCGAACCCTCCAGCCCACCGAGTCTGCTATTATATATACCACTGAACTTCTGCTCCTGCCTCTCCATAGCAATCTCTCAGACTCCAACTTGGTACATCCTCTCACCCACACACTTCTCTACCAAGACACTCAATTCCCACTTCACCATGTCTGAGCCCGAGTTTGAGCAGGCCAGGAAGGGTATGTCCGCGGCCCTACATTGGCCTCTACCCATTGCGCCAGCACAACTAACCCTCTCTCATAGAGCTCGTCTCCACCCTCGAGGCCTCTTCCCTCTTCACCAAGAACCCCGAGTACAAGAAGGCCCTCGAGGTAGTCTCTATCCCCGAGCGCATCATCCAGTTCCGCGTCGTCTGGGAGAACGACAAGGGCGAGTGCCAGGTCCAGAAGGGCTACCGCGTGCAATTCAACTCTGCACTGGGTCCCTACAAGGGCGGTCTCCGCTTCCACCCCACTGTCAACCTGTCTATCCTCAAGTTTTTGGGCTTCGAGCAAATCTTCAAGAATGCCCTCACTGGACGTATGTCATTTGCCCCGACCCATGTCACTTTGTGTATAACTAACATTTTTCCATAGTCAACATGGGCGGTGGCAAGGGAGGTTGCGACTTTGACCCCAAGGGCAAGTCCGACAATGAGATTCGCAAGTTCTGTGTTGCCTTCATGAGGGAGCTCAACAAGCACATTGGTAAGTCCAAACTCCTAGCGCGTCTTTGACATTTCCCCGGTGGGGCATGCACCCGCAACGGCCTCGCATGCCTGCATCCCGACTGCACGCCATTTAGAACCCGCGGGACAACCTTGCCTATCCTCCCGTCTACTTTAGTTTTATCCGTCGGCGACGTTCGCTGTCTTCTTGGTACTCCCATGCATCATTTGACTTACGTAAATTTACAGGTGCCGACACCGACGTTCCTGCGGGCGACATCGGCGTAGGAGGCCGCGAGATTGGCTACCTCTTTGGCGCATACCGGGCAGAGCGCAACCGCTGGGAGGGTGTCCTCACCGGCAAGGGGGGCTCATGGGGAGGTTCATTGATCCGCCCCGAGGCCACCGGTTACGGTCTCGTCTACTATGTCGAGCACATGATCAACTACGCCTCGGGCGGAAAGGAGTCGTTCGCCGGCAAGCGCGTCGCCATCTCCGGTTCCGGAAACGTTGCCCAGTTTGCTGCTCTCAAGGTCATTGAGCTTGGTGGTACTGTCATCTCCCTTAGTGACAGCAAGGGTGCTTTGATCGCCGACGACGACAAGGGTTTCACCCCAGATGTCATCAACCAGATTGCCGCTCTCAAGCTGGAGCGCAAGGCACTTACTGCCCTCGAGAACCACAGCTACCGATATGTCGAGGGTGCCCGCCCATGGAAGGAGGTCAAGAAGGTCGACGTTGCTCTTCCATCAGCGACCCAGAACGAGGTCTCCGAGGACGAGGCCAAGGCACTCATCGAGTCCGGCGCCAAGTTCATTGCTGAGGGCTCCAACATGGGCTGCACACAGGAGGCTATCGAGGTCTTCGAGGCTCACCGTCGCGAGCACAAGGGTAGTGCCATCTGGTACGCCCCCGGAAAGGCTGCCAACGCCGGTGGTGTCGCAGTCTCTGGTCTCGAGATGGCCCAGAACTCTCAGCGTCTGTCTTGGACTGCCGAGGAGGTTGACGAGAAGCTCAAGGGCATCATGAAGGACTGCTTCGAGAACTGCCTCAGCACCGCAAAGGAGTACTTCACCCCTGCCGACGGCGAGTTCCCATCCCTTGTCGGCGGTGCCAACGTTGCTGGTTTCCGCAAGGTCGCTGCTGCTATGCACGACCAGGGTGACTGGTGGTGAAGACTTTGCCACTGACTCTCGACTACCCTTTTGTGCTTTTGTATACCTTATGATACCTTTATATTGGACATGGCGTTTGTGGCTTCAGCCTCTGTACATAGATACCTCTTATGAGTAGAATGATTATGATTCAAACAATACCTTTTTGCTTGGTGTTTTTATGTGAAATGGAGGATACAAAGATTATCATGGATGCTAAAAAACATCCCAGCACAGCAGTGATACACCGCACCACGTCACCAGAAGTACAAGAATATCTCCAAACCACAAGGAGAAAAAGCAAAGACTACATTTGTGTCTTGTCTCATTTTTTTTTCTTTTCTACCCCTCCACGCGACACTACGTAAACATACATACCCCGCAGCACCCTTCCCCCCCCCCCGCCCACCACTAATCAAAAGAAGAAAAAGATAAACCTGTCTATCTGCTTCTTTTCCGGCATACTACCCATTCAAACAAGAATAAACTCAAGAATGAATAAATTCATCAGAAGAAAACCTGTACACCTCACACCCCTCCCCTGTCCCTATCCCACACCAAACCTATTTGCACAGTCAAGCTAAGCTAACCTTAATCTCATCCTACCCATCCTACCCATCTACCTTTTTCCTCTTGCATCTCCCCTTGTCCCTTTCCACTTTCGTGCAGCCAAGTGCTGAGTCTACTGGGAAGGGGAAGTGGGAAAAAAAATGGTTTTCAAAACGCAAACGGAACAGGCATGTGGAATTTTGGGTGGAGTGGTAGATGGCTTGTGTGTAATGTCGTTCTAGATCGGGGGGGGGGGGCATTTGAAAGTACTATGTGAGAGAGCGTGTGTGTGAGAGAGAAAGAGAGAGAGAGAGGGTAGAATGTGAAAAGCTGGAGAGGTAAAAGAAAAAAAAAAGTAGAGTGTAGTATGATGACAGGATGAGGTTTGTGAGTATGAATGCATATACTAGCACGATTGAATGATGTGGGGTGGGTGGTGGTGTTTATGGACTTTTATCCTTCACACGCCTGCGTTTTGCGGTTAATGCACATGGGGATTACTACTACTACTACTACTACTACTATGGTGTAGATAAAATAGAGATTGTGTTAGTACTAGGAGGTTTTGCGTATAGCGCATATGCAATTCCGTTGCCATCCCCCCGGCAAAATGCTGTCGCATGCCCTACACATACATCGACACATGCAAGTGTTTTTTTTGTTCTCGGAAAAGCATCGGAAACCCTTATTTCGCCGGATGCCATTTGCCGTGGGGGTTCTTTGGCTAGACTTGGTGGTGGGGGTGGTACTAGCGTCGGGGTGGGGAAGGGGCGTGGCCGGCTTCCGACATCGATATCGGAGGGGGCGGAATCTAAGTACGGGAAGTGTGGTCGGGAGATGTAGGAAGAAGTGGTATGGGTCGGGAGGGGTAGGGTTGAGTTTCTTGGTTGCTGTATGTGGGGGGAGGAGGAGGAGGTGTGGTGAGGATAGGTGTTTTTGATTTGTGAGAGGCATGGATGATGTGGGGGTTATTGCATGGAAAGCCTTGTTTGGTATGTAAGCCAAAGGCTCGGAATGGCCCGAGATTTCTTTTCGTCGAGTGGACTACATGCGTTTTTATATGCTTTTATTTACTATGCGAAACAGGTAGTCCATTCTTTGAGCAACTCATCTACCTCGTCGTCCCCTTCAGACACTGATTCCGATGACGGCTTCGCAAATTCGCTCCATAGAGGTCTCTCCTTTGCGAGAGGTGGTTTGCGCGCTGTAATGCGTCAATTTTAGTTTTCCAGAAAATGGAGAAAAACACTTGCCTTCTAAATCTTCTTGCTTAAACGCGGATTGAAGTTCAAGGGGTGCCGGGCGGTATACTGACACCTGTGCTGGTGAGGAAAGAGCTGGTGCGTATGCTGGCGAGGGAACGGGTGACGAATGTGGCGGAGATGCTGGCGAATATGCTGGTGAAGAAAGAGCTGGCGCATATGCTGGCGAGCGAGGTACAGATACACATATCTCCTCCTTCTCTGGGGGGTTTGGTGACATGGAATAATGATAGGAATACTCCCAAGCTGATGCAGAACCAAAAGTCTGGATCCGCCCCTGATGGTCTGACAAACATGAAAATGGACTGGTGCCGTAGCGTAACTGATCATCGCCCCCAGCATGCGGTTTACTGCTGCCAAAAAGTGTATCGGAAATATGTTGACGTGAGCTCTTTGGTCTTTGCACGTAGGCTATGCCCTCATTCGGCCTCTTTGTTCCTTGCAGTCGCATTGGGATTTTCTCCTGCTTCACGCGCTCCTCAACTTTCTCCTCTGCCCCTGTCTCAATTGCAATAATGGATTCTTTTTTCTCTTTGCCCACTGAGATTGTTTTGGGTTTGGATGTTCGGAATAGAGCCTCTTCGTTGATGTGATTTTCCGCTTTCAGCATCACGGTTTTACTCCTCGTGCTCGAGCTACCAAGCAGGATAGTGTCGAGATGGGAGCGAGCAGCAAAGTAAGATCCAATGACCATCTGATGATCGTCCGATTGGTCATCTCCTTCAGATGCATTCGCCAGAGCTTGTTGCAGTCGTTCGATGTTTTCCAAGAGGGTCCGGACGTGCTGAGCGCATTCTGCAAGAGAATCAGAAGTCATCGTAGAGCCGATCGATTTGGCGACCAGAGTTGAAACAGATCCATTGTCATCAAAGGAGATCTCGTCATCCTCAAGTTCAGTGTTGCTATCGCTCGTCTTGAATCTTTGCAATGACTCCTCATATCTCTTTGTAGTGTTCTTTTTGTTTTCCAGTAGCTGTCGAATCTCCTCTCGTTGTCTTGCCTCGGCTTCGCGGTCAAGCTTTTTTGAAGATACATGAAATGCATGCATCAGTACCTGCATTAGAAGTTGCAGGGTGCTCTTGAGTTTGTCGATGTGACTCCGCAGCAGCTCAATCTTGGGTTCTCGGAATGGCAGCATTAGTCGGCCCATCTTTCCCTTTTTGCTCTTATTCAAAGTCGCTTCAATTTCTCCAAACATTGTAGAACATTCGTTTAGAGTCTCGTTTGCTGTCGCAATAGCACTCTTCGAAATCAGGCTCAAGGTATCATCTTGCTTGAAAATGCCGCCCAATTCCTCAATGACGAAGCTCGTAAGCTTGATCTCTTTCGCAACATCCCTGATCCTACGATCAGCCGTCGCCACACTGTCGGCATACTGATACAAAGCTTGTGAAAGCTTCAAACCTGTCCCTGCCAATTGCAAGACACTTGCGACCAGGCCGATCGCTTCGGCCATAATTCTCCATACACAAACCTAATTTACTTATTCTTTCAACGACAACTGCACCCATGAAATACGATCGGAAATGTTGTTTTGGTGAGGGGGAAATAAACTTAGTTCAGCCGTGTCCATCTCATCTGGCTGCCTGATCGTTTAGGGCGTAGCGGGGTGGACGCTGATCCCGTGACTCGCCCGTTTCCGTTACCAACGTCGAGTTTACCCCACAATTCCTTAGCGTGTTCATTCTCCTTACAATATACATATAATTCCACCCCTCAAAACATAAAGCACACATAAAACATGTAGGATGCTCAAGCCTTAGAATGGGTAGTCACGGGTAGACTGGCCGCGCCTTTCCTCAAGGAAACATGGCGCATTCCGAAAACCTGCACTGTCACTAGCAGATGTTCCTCCGTCATCATTGAGCAATACCACCCCTGTCCGTCAGCCGTCTTTCTTCTGATCGTCATGTAACAGCTCACGCTTATTGGACGCCACAGCTGTTCAGCGCCACAGAACCACGACATGATATCATGGGGTCCAGCGCGTAGAGGACTTGCTTGGGTGTTGTTCTTGTTGGAGGAGCTTCCCCGCTGTGGGAGTTGACGCGGCTTTGATTGTATTCACATAGATTCTGAGCTTCTCGCAAAACTTGCTGATACAATTATCATCTTCGCTGAGCCCATTCACAATCTTGAACAATTCAACAACTCGATCTGCTCCTCGCCATCGGATCGCCGATTAAACTTTGACTATTACCTGCTATGGACGACGGTTTTCGGCAACCTGCCAAACTTCAAAAACGCAAGAGTCGAGAACGACAGGAACTTGAGCAGATGACAGGCGGCTTGAGTGGCCAACCCACAGCCAACTCATCGCAACCTATTTCCAGCTCCACAAACATGACACCCAACGAGAAAGAAAAGCGATCAAAATGGCGCATGTCCAATCCATTCTCATCCAAGGATAAGGCATCAAAAGAAAGCATCAACCAACCTCCAAAGGATGCAGAAAAGGAAAAGTCTCGTAAAGATGTCGACTCTGCTTACTATAGTAGCGAACGCAGCAGCGCCGACCCAAGCCTCGTAAACCAAACGCGTCCGATTTCTGGCGAACAGTTTCACCGCCAATCATCGAACAACCAAGTACCTCTACCGCATACCCCGTCACCCAATGGACATACACAAGACAGTCTTGCGCCACCTCAGCAAACGGTTCAGCATCGTTCGAGCCACGAGGATGTGGCTAGAGAAACATACCGCCAGGCTGGTACGGGGAATATAGTCACAGTGACAACTACCACGACGACTACGACCACCACAACAACTGGCCCGGGAGGTTCTACCACAGTAATGCAACCTCATGACGGTAGTAATGGGGGCCCGCAAAGTGTACACACCTCTGGCCCTAGTCCACCACAGCCAGCTCCGCCTCAACCTGATAATCACCACCCTCAAGGCCCAGGTCTGTCTGCTCAATCTGCTATACGCCACGACCTGACCCCCCCGATACCCGAGAACGGCACTCTGCAAGGAAACAGAATCTCTCCTCAAGTTTCTCAAATTGATAGAGACTCGTCTCCGCCTATTCCAGCGAAGAACAATATACGGCATAGGGTAGAACTAGACTCAGTCTCACCGGGAGTACAACGCCCAGATCCCATGGAAGACGCCGTTAGCCCAGTCTCTCCCAGCAGTCCTTCACGAGCAAATTTCTCTTACCCAGCCCGGGCACCACCTCAAGGTACTCCTCGACAGTCCCTCGGAAACAATATACCACCTGTACCCCCAATGCCCGAGCACCAGCATGCTGTAATGCCGCCATTCGTTCCAACCCAGCAACTACCCGATCTCCACCCTGGACTGGACTCAAACGACGTGAACCGCCCAGCACCCTACCGATCAGGCCACGACCTACCCAAGCAAAGCACAATGGCCAATCTGAGAGCCGCAGCTGCCGGCATCCATGTAAGTTCCCCCTTCCTCCCCTACCTTTTTTTTTGCAAAACAAGTAAGAACTAACCAGTACCCCCAGGGCGCAGGAGAAACCCTCCGAGGCACTTTCAACGACACCTTCGACCGCCGCAACCCCGCCGCCCACGCAAAAAACCAAGCCGTCATCGAAAAGGGTCGCTCGGAAATCGAAGCTGCGCGCGCGAGACAATATGCTAGTCAGGTCCAGCAACAACAACAGCAATTTCAACAAGCATCTGCAAGTGGAGATTCAGCAGCACCCAATACGCCTCAACCAGCCGAAGCCAAGACTCCGTATATGGGACCCCCAGTCTCCGGCTCACAGATTGAAGGGAGAAGTGGACATGGAAGGGGTAAGCTGAGTAATATCATGAAGAAGATGAAGGAAGGACCCACGCCGTCCAAGGAAGGGGCTGCGGGTCATTCTTAATGTGTATATTGCTTTTCTCTCTCTCTCTCTTATATCTATCTTAATATTGCATCAGCGTGTTTGAGCAGGCAAGCCTTGCATCTAGAAAAAAAACGCGATGGAATAGGATTTCTTTTCTTTTCTTTTCTTTTCTGCGGTATGGATAAGGGATGATGATGATGATGCATTAGCGTGTTTTGGAATTTTTAGATTGTCACAAGTACCTATTGTCAGCTGCTCAAAGGGTGACATTTTTTTTTTCGTGGCGGTTGATGGGTTGAAACGACATGTCATTATTACGGAGTGAGATTTGCATGTCGAGTACCCGGTGTGCTGGGACGGGGATAAACACGTACGTCAGACAATGTCACAGCAGGCAGTGGAAGAAGGTTTGAGGGGAGTTGAAATTTCATTCAATAGACTATGGCAATTACTCATAACTTCGTAAACATGCGTTTTTGTTCTGGAATCAAAGCCACGGCGTTGTCGTGGGAATCAACACACACACCTTAACCGTTGACGATAGTACCGCCGTTGGCATGGATAGTCTGACCGCTGATGGAGCTGCTATCATTGCTGGCCAAGAAGACAAAGCAAGTAGCAATCTCACTAGGCTGCGAGGGCCTGCCGATTGGCGCAGTGAACTGCTTCAGGGCCTCGTCGTTCATAGTCGCAGGGATGAGTGGGGTCCAGACGGGACCGGGAGCAACAGCGTTGACGCGAATACCCTTTCCGACATACTGGTTTGACAGACCGCGGGTGAAAGAGATGATGGCGCCTTTGGTGGAGGTGTAGTCGAGGAGGTCTGGGCGGCCGATGTATGCGTTGATTGAGGCGTTGTTGATGATGGTAGCGCCGCGCTTCATGTGTGGCAGGGCGTACTTGGAGAGGAAGAAGAATGGATGGATGTTGGTGTTGAACGTGTGGAGCCATTGATCCCTGTACATTATTAGCCTCGTTGAGTCTACAAGAAAGTTCTCTACTCACTCGGAAAGGTCGCTGATATCATTGACCATCATCTGGTAAGCGTGGTTGTTGACGAGGATATCAATGCCGCCCATGGCCTTGACAGCCTCGTCAATGACCTTCTTACAGTTTTCCTTGGGCTTGAGGTCGATGGCGAGAGTATGGCACTTTTGGCCCTTCTCCTCAACCATCTTCTTAGTCTCTTGGGCGTCCTCTTCTTCCTCAGGCAGGTAAGCAATGAAGCTGTCGGCACCCTCCATAGCAAACAAGACTGCTATTGAGCGGCCAATGCCAGAGTCTCCACCGGTGATGATGGCTTTCTTTCCCTTGAGCTTGCCGGCAGCTTTGTACTTTTCTGCGCCGCCTTCAGGTGTAGGAAGCTCATCAACTTTGGGCGTGGGATCAAGTTTGGACTGTAGACCAGGCACCTGCTGGTGCTGGACATCAGACTGGAAGCCTAGGATGCCATTGTTAATGGAGACCAGCAGCTGATGATCATTCGTGCTTACCTTGCTCGAACTGTCCTTTGTCAGACATGGTGTTTTTGCAATGTTTGTACCCGGAAATCAAATGAAAAGGGGATAAACTCTATCAGCAGTTTCCTGGCGAAGAGATTGTTAATCTAGTGGTGGTTCACGCTCAGCGTGAGACTTTTATTGATGTTGGGAATTTACCGTGACATCACAAGGCGGTCACTGCACGTTCATGAGCAAAGGTGGAGCAGTGCTCCGGAAGCTTCAGGAATACTCTGACAGGAGCTTTCCATCGATAATAGAAGAGCATCGACCGATGGTGTATGACAGACTGTGTGAACTGGTGGGAACGTTTTCAGCCCTACCCGCGGCTTGACATTGTTTCTGTGCAGCCACGTGATCAGCGCGTATGTGCGTGTACAGGTATGTATTCTCTTGGAAACCAACGGCTCTTAGCTTCAAACATCAGTAACAAGCACAGCCTTGAACGTGGGACATGGCTGCAAAGTGAGAGGGCTGTGATTCCAAGCAACCCCTCTGGCGCACATCGCTACTACGTCATCATTCGCATACACCCAACGATAACGATGCCTCTTGTTCGGGTCCAGACTTTGAATTGCGAAACTCTGCAACACTCAGTTTCCCATTCTATCGCGATCAACAGCAAAACCCCTCCTCTCAAGCCCACAATGACGCTCAACAAGCTATTTCCAAGATGCTTATGACGTAGCCGCATGGCCCCACTTTTAATCAGGGTCCAGCAACCACAACCCGCTATGACCGCATCCAGCCACAGCCCACGTCGCGATCTCTGACCCCCCAGACACCAGTCGCTATCATCACCCGCTTTCCAGCCCAATCAGCCGTATGTCTGGATCTAATGCCACGACAAACCACCACAGAAGAAACGTCATGCGCCACAAGCCACCAACGTGTGTGCCAGGGGTGCCAACACCCAAGTCGGCTTGACGGGACCCTGCATGACGTGAGATGGGGGCGATCACAACTCCATCTGGGCGGCTGCACCTTAGAGTCCTTGATTTCAGGGTCTTGGGGAGGCTTCCACCAAGGGTCTAGAGGCCTTGAGAGAGATAGAGAGATCACCAGCTGAGGGGCCGCGGAATGATATAAGATGGGCCATTGTTGTGTATTTCGAACCTTCATCTTCACAACACATCGCACATCAACTTGAACAATCAACACACTCTGCCAACAGCTCCAACTATCACCCTCAAACTACTTTACTCTATCAATCACCCCAAACAAACTCAATAACCATGCCTCTTGCACGCCGCTCCGCTCCTCGTGCTGCCCGTACCACCCGCACTACTGCACGCCCATCTCTCAAGACCCGTCTGATGGGAGGCCGAAAGACACGCACTCACACTAAGCGTGCCCCTGCTGGTACCACCACTACCACTACCACTACCAGGACCACCCGCACTACCGGTGGCCACGGTCACGCCGCTCCAGTTCACCACCACAAGCGCCATGCCACTATGGGCGACAAGGTCAGCGGCATGATGATGAAGCTTAGGGGTTCTCTCACTCGCAGGCCCGGCCTCAAGGTAAGCAGGAAACAACCCACAACCGCAAGCGATTTTCTAACGAATTCTTAGGCTGCTGGCACTCGCCGCATGCATGGAACTGATGGTCGCAATGCCCGCCGCGTCTACTAGACTTTCCAGTCGACTTAGCGGCACAATTTCCTTCATGTATTAGTAGCGTTGTAACGATTGTACGATATGAGGACCGATACCCAATATTTTGAGCGTTTAGTATTCAATAAACTGTTCAAACCTTAAACTGTTGCCCAAGCCACTGTGCATAATTTGAAAAAGCCGCAGCAAAAGTGCATGATCATTTGCGAAACAATGACACAAACCTACTTACTTACCCTAAACATAATGAAGATGATTAATCAGATAGGTTAATCAAAACCGCCAACGTTAAAAGGTCTTGATGTGCAGGTGTAGAAAAGGGGTAGGTAAAACGAGTAAAAGCAAACAGTGGTAGAATACGTGCAGTAGTCAAACCTGAATTAGAATCGATACGATCGCTCCATATGAACCGCTCCATATGAACCAAATTAGGCCGTGATGAAGTGTGGGAAAGATATCTGCCATAACAGATGATAAGGTCGAGGACAGGGTACACCCGGCTTAACTCCGCCCCATCGTCAACCAGATCTACTAGCGCGGGCATGCAAACCATGCAAACACCACAACTTGCATCGACTGATCTCATACACGCAACCCTCCATCCGTGCAATTGCGCCCCCGCCATAACATTAACTCACACCATGCCACCGCCACGGCTCTCCCTGGCTTTGATACGGGCGCGGCCTCAGGCACGATACCAATGTCTCCGCCGCACTGCGTCCCTCCGCCAGGCGTCCCTCACCACACCACCACAGCAGAACGATGTAAAGCCCGTCGTCCCTTGGAAAACTCCGACGAGTGTCTGGGCGCCTGAGAACCTCATCCCCCCACCTAAAGATGGCGAGATACTACTCGAGAGACGTCCAAATCGCGCCTTACCACCGTACGTCGAGCCCCAAATCCTTCTCTTCCTACCAACCAGGAAAGACTCAGGATTCAAAAAAAAACGAACAAGCTTGAGCAAAAATGCTAACATCACTGCTAACCAGTATCCCACCCCTAATACCCCCGCAAGTCTTGCGCACCCTCCCCATCTTCATCATCGCAATGACCGTCTCCCTCTTCGCCTTCTTCAACTACCAGAAGCAAGAATCTTCTGTCGTAACCGCAACTCTCTACGCGCTGCGCACTAACCCACTCGTGCGCGAGCAGCTCGGCGACGAAATATATTTTGCGTCAAAGTACCCGTGGATCAAGGGCGAGATCAACCAGGTCCATGGTCGCATCGATGTCAGCTTCTGGGTCAAGGGAACCAAGCAGGCGGGTCAGGTTCGTCTGAAGTGCAGGCGAAAGGGAAGAGGTGGGCTGTATTATACGCAAGAGTATAGTTTGACCATGGAGGATGGTACAAGGTTTGAGTTGTATGATCCACAGGGCAATGCTATTGATCCGTTCCAGGAGATTGCAGTGGAGGAGTAAGGGGTAGAAGTTGGTTGAAAGAGGGACGGAAGAGGGCATATAGATCGACTGGAGGATTTTCGAATTCAAGCACATGGCTTGAAGAGTCCTGGCGACGCACGTTGCTGGGTCGATGGGCCGAGCGCCCCGAACAATGTTCATTGATATGAACAATGACGCCAATCCAATATTAGTTGTTCAATTTACTGTATAACACATGTACATATAGATATATGCACCGCATCATGTAGCAACAGCGAAAACTTTGCATTGATAGCAATGGCATAAAGGACAATACTGGACATTCCAATCTATAAACCACGTGTATATTAGAAAACACCGATCCTAAAAGAGAGTAGTGAAGCATCTCGAAAAAAAAAAGAATGGACAAACAGTGAAATGATTGTAGTCCTAATTTCCCTTCATCGAAGAAGGAGAAAGAAAGATATATGCTCAACAGGGCCGCATCCATCATCTAACATGATCAAACTCACCCTGGAGCTCTCATCCCGCCATTCTCGTAGTAAACATCATCCTTTTCCATGTTAAAAGAAGAGAGAGAGAGACAGGGTTTGTACCGCCGCAAAAGTAGAAAACGCCTGCTGCTAATATCTAATCTGTAGCAGTAATGCATTTTTTGTAGGAATGCAAACCAATCAGTAGTACAAAGAACAAGAAAAAGAAAGTGGTATCATTATTTCCTTCGCCCCTCCTCCACCTGAAACCCGAACGCTTGACTTAGTCTCTCACCTTCACCTCATAACCCCATGGTCCATCAACCAGCCGAAAAGTAAGGGAGATTTTTCCTCTCAAATCTTATTAGTATCGAAATCAAACTCTGGGCGCCTGACGCTAGGATGATGCGCCATATCCGGCTTGACCAAGTGCGCAAACTGCGGGTTGACATTGAGCGGATAGCTAATCTCGGGCATGCGGGCAGTCTCCTGCTCCTGCTCTTCGCGCTGGCGCTGCCAGAAGCGCTTGCGGGAGGGTTCGCCCGAGGTGGTACGCGAGTAGATGGAGGAGGCGGGGCGGTTAGAGAAGACGTTTAGCTTTGCGGGGGACTGAGAGTGGTAGGAGGGGAGGAAGGATTGGCGGGCTGTGCGGAGGGCGCGGAGGGGATTGAAGTCGAATTGGGAGAGGTGGTGGGCGTCAGTGGTATCTTTGTTTTGGGGTTGAGGCGGGGAGCCGCAGTCTACGGGGGGAGTGGGCATGCGCGTGGGCGGGGAGCGGGAGGAAGTGCTGCCGGTTTGGTGGGAGGAGAGGGTGAAGGGTTTGAGTTTGGACTCATAGTTTGAACCCGTCCATTGGGATTGGGTTTCGAGGTCTTCATGGAGCGTCATGGCACCGCGGGAGCGGACCATGCGCGCGGTGATGTTGCGGGATTTGTCGCGGAAGATGAAGCTGGCGATTATGTTGAAGAGGCCAATGACGAAGGAGAGGACGCCCGAGGCGACGAGGAGGCGCCAGAAGGGCATGGTGAGCGACTTTTGGCTCGTAGCTTCTTTGTTCATGTTGCCGAGGAGGTTCATGCCGATAATCATCATGGCACAGCCTAGGGTGACGAAGCCGTGAGAAGGGCTTAGAAGAGGCCAGTTGCGGGCGAAGAAACCGCGGAAGAGCGAGCATTCTGAAACGATGAAGAAGAGCCCAGCAAATGCGGTGATGACATGGCTCGTGGCATCGAAGAAGAAGAACTGAGCCCAGTCAGCCACCTACAATGTTAGAATCGATCACTGCTACGTACCTTGGAAATGATAAAAGTCTTGACAAGCATGACAACACTGCTGGCAACGACTGAAGCCAGAGCAATGATGTTGAGTCCACGAAGGACGTTGAGAATGATGTAGCCCGGCCCAGCCAGGTGTTCTGCTGAAAGAAGCGCCATTTCGTTTTTGTGTGTATAGAGAAAGAGTCGTGGGTGCTGGAAGATTCAAATTGGTGTTCTGTGGGGCAATTGGGTCCGTCCAGCAGTTGGTTGAGTCAGAGGGAAAAGCGCGTCTAGCGACAAAGGTTGGAAGATAGATAGATAAAGAGTGGGTGTTGGTTTTAAAGAGGGCAGGGTTGAAGGTGAATTAGAGGGGGAATTTCCCACGCCGTCAAGGCAACTGGCCTCTAACAGTAGCAACAATGGCAAACAATAGAGACCAAAAAGATGAAGAGTGAAAGGCAAGAAAAGAACCCAAGGTGAAGGAGGGAACCTCAGGACAAAACTGGCCCGCTAGCCCTGGCCTGGCCGTTCTCGTGAACCTTACAATAGCACAGGCGGGGGCGTATGGCGCTGGATGCTCGCACGGCTTCACACTCGAGTGCTTCAGGCTTGAGTGGCTCAAATGAGCCCAAGGACTACTACTGCGCTTGTGCTGCCGGCCGATGTGAAACGCTCCCCGCTAGCCCCGGCGGGAACAGCAGAGCAACGACCCAGTCATCCAATTCCCAGCTGGCGAGGCTGGCAGCGAAATTGTCGCGTCGGCAACCGTACAGGGTTGCTGTGGGGTTCCAGCATCCAGACGATTAGGCATGGTCTGGTCGACGTGCGGCAGTCGCGTATTGATTGGCTTTGGGGCCTTAAAACCACATCGCGTAGCCGCAGGGATGTGGTTTCAGGTTTAGAAACATCTGCACGCCGTGAGCCCCACGATCTGCGGGCGGCAAGATATGGGCAGACCTTATCTCGTTAGTACTGCCATGTCACCAATGCGAGGCGTTGTTTGCACATGGGACCCGCTGCCCGCACAGTCTGGAAGCATCCTGTGTGGAAGCGCTTGCGGTGGAGGCGTAGGGTTATGGCGCCACGCCAGGGCCTGTCATCACCACCCAACTTTAAATCGCGAACCAGTCCACATGTCCACTTCTCAGTCGGCATTTTCAGTTCGGCAATAGTTTCAATAGTCGACACGGTGTGCATGCCACCGCCAACATATTGTGCAGCTGGTTGTTTTTGTTTTTGTTACTCCAAGATAAATCACTTGATTGGAAATCAATCGGGTATAATGCTGTAAACTGAGCCAAGACAGAAAGCCCAGAACCTCCGCTATGAGGCCGACATTGGTGTATGTGGTAAATCAATTGACAGTAAGTCCGGCTCCAAGTCTCTTCCCCACCCTGTATACATGGCGTGGCCGTGGCAGTCGACCGTTGACCTATTTAGCTCATTAACATATCGATCTACAAGCGTCGTCCTTGGCTGACTCACTAAAGTTCCATCCCGGAAAGCCAACTCGACCCCATCGTTCATTGGCACCGCATAGACCGGGAGATTGAAGACTTGACGCAACGACCGGGATTCATCACAGTCCCTGGTGACGGCTTCGTCTTTTGCGGGGTACCCCTTTGCTTCTGAAGATTGGATGTTCCATGCTCCATCACTTTCATCATGAATGTCCAGTCGCCTGTACCTTCGAACGTGCGCCAGTCGTTGGTTCGAATCGAATAACGCCTTGCGTGAAGGTCTTGCCTGGATCTCTGCCACTTTCATGGCCTTGTCCTCTGCAGTCATCATCTCGATTGAAGGCCGAGTGCTACGAGGGTAGACATGGTGAAAGCTTATCTCGCGCGTGATTCCAGAAGGATACTCGGTTATGTTCTTTACAAGAGATAAGTCAGATAACTGGAAAAGGTCGGGCGTTTTGTCACTGTTGGAAGCGGTGGTAGCTGGCGATGGAATGAAACTGGAATCCGGTATTGTCGATATGATTGCAGAAGACCGAGGACAAGCTGCCCTGTTGGATACATCTTCCAGGCTATTTCGGACCACGGCACCAGGCCGGACAGCATATTTTTGATCATGTGCTTGCGAGTATTGAATAATATAATCTCGGTATTCCTCTTCGTATCGAGCTTTACATGCTGCGTTGGCAAAGCTATACACCAAACGGGCTCCATGCAGCCCACTCGTCTTGTCGCTACGAAACTCTTTGCGTGAAAGGATCGCCTTGAGACTCTTTTCCCACGTAGCCTGCCCTTCTTGAAGGTAATAAAACTTTTGGACTAGCCAATCAACAATCTGTGAAGCCGTCATACTTGCTCCATTTGCACAAGCCAGGGCTATCCTAGCTAGCTCTTGATTTGTAAGGCGCTTCTGATGCCCGGGCGAATATGTGTCATCCAACTCCGAACGTAAGGAAATTTGGGGAGACATGGATGGGCTTATCCAGTCGGGAGAGCCCTCTAGATTCACATTTCCGGACTCCTGTTGCACAGAGAACAACTCAGGCGAGACTGCGTCACCAGTAGAAGGTGGTTGTCGAGAAATGTGGCTCTGAACCTCATCTACCATGTGGGAAGAAGATGGCAAAAGTGTTGGTGACTCACCCACTTGTGTTGTTTCTGATGCGCCAGGTGATTCTCGGCAATCATCTTCGCACTGCTGCCCCCTGCGTGGTGACTGGAAGGAGACATTATGGAAAGAGTTTGTACCGTGTGTTGCGATCCCTTGGTGTACGGCTCCTCGTTTAACGTCATTGGAAGTAGAGATTGACTCTGTGGAGTTAGTAGGCTCAAAGGTGTTGCATGGTGCAGGAAGCGGATAAAGTGTTGCATGATCATCGATCTTCTTTATGCTCGGCTCAAGCGTCGGCCGATGTGAATAGAACCAAGGGGATGGTATGCTGCAGCGAGCGATGATATCAGGGGTCTCAGGTATCTCTAGCTGCCTTGGAGGACTGGTAGCTGCGAGCTTGATTTGAGATTTAGCGTTTTGCTTCTGAGATGATGAAGCAGGATTATTAATCTGACCTAAACGGTGCATACGTGCTTTCAGATTGTTTGAGAGGCCAAGGGGCTTAGGTAGGGGAGATGGCTTAAAGACTTCCTCAGGTCTATCTAAGTTTTCTGAACTCTTTGCGCTTAGAGAACTAGCACGGAAATCCCGAGCATCGACATGCTCACTAGTGGTGATCACCTCGGGTAGTCTAGACGAATTCGCAGCTGTAAATCGTGTACTCCGCGGCCTAAAGATTTCTCTCACTGCAGAGTATCTAACTGAGACCGATTTCGAAGATACTAGGGGCTTAGCAGATTTTCCAATGTCGCTTAAACAGGTCAAACATCTCCAGTATCCCCTGATGTTGTTAGTCTTTGTTCAATGCACAACGCTAAGATAACTTACGGGTCAAGCCCTTGGGTCAATGAAGGTTTCCGACAACTGTCATGATATGATCTGCCGCATCCGGGGCAGGCAATAATTGGATTGTAGCTCGTAGCTGTAGTCTTGTCGCATACTCGGCAAGTGGGTTTGAAGGAGGACTCTGACTTTGACGGCGCTTTTGACGGACCGCGAGTTTTCTGCGTTAGGGAGGCATTGCGCCTTTGCTCCCTAGGCGCATAATAGCGAGGAAATGTTTGTGAAGGGTGCGAAGTTTGTGACTGCCCGGATAAGTGCTCACAGTTACTTTGCGCACCCGTGGAGAAAGTGAACAGTCGATGCAAGCTGCGAGGACGAATTAGTGGGGCCTTGATACAACAACCTGATGCATAATACCTATCCTTGGGCGCACTGAGGCCTGTCAAGCTTGAGGAATCTCGTCTCACGTGTGGCTCGCCGCAGGCTGTACGCTTACGCTTGAGCGGAGGTGGTGATATTTCACTCAGCCGAGAAGTTTGCCTTGGACTTGGGATGGCACTGGGTTTTGATAGAGGATCTCGAAAGTCCACACTGGGTTGGTCATGTCCGGATACGTTGCTGTTCGTGCTAAGATATGATAGTCGTCGTTCGTCTTTGGCGTATCTCATCTAAAGGGTTGAATATTTGGAAAAGAATGTACCTAGCACAATACATGCGGGTCAGCTCTCTATAGAAATGCAGGAACGGTGGGAACCATGGGAGTGGAGAATGCGTCAGGTCTTTTCAGTTTTATGTAAAGCAGCACTTCGCCCCATTGGAGGCTTCTCCTTCGGTTCCACTGCAGGCAAGCACCCACGGGCAGAATGCGCCAGAATGCAGGATGCCACAGAGCAGCCACAAGGCAAACCGTCACAATGGTTCGGCGATCTAACCTTTTACCAGTGGTCATCACGCATGCGGAATACGCGTCGGTCCGTAGCGGGGCTTATCTTACCTGAGCTATGGCAATGAGACGCGCCGTGGATAGAATGCACCTTGAGCACAACATGGATGAAAGAAGAATAAAATAAAATACAAGCACGATGGCGTCAATGTGGCCATGCAGACGCGACACGAGATTTAGCAGTGAGTTAGCGCGGAGCGAGCGGAGAAGCGAAGGCAGCCAGGGCCCTCGTTGTCGTAAAGACAAACGGTTACAGCGCGCCATCACGTGACGGCTGGGCAGAGCCCCCCACCCAATGGCGCGCGGGTGGGGCATGCGCGCATCCATCTGGCCTTTGGGCGCATGTGCTTGCCCGTGGTATCATTGCGACAAACACTTACGCTCCTTTTTTATTCGCAGCGCAGGCGGGGTCACGACTAGCCGCACGCAGTATCCATGGACTTCCTCAAGTCTGCCGTTGCCTCTGCAATTTCAAAGGGCCCAGCGTTTGGTTACACATTTGGCGATCGTGTCGACTTGAACGACTCCATCTGGACACTGCACAATGGCACAAAGCGAGTATGGCCCAGACATCTGCCCAAACACACACGCGAACGGCTGTTGACAACTGGGGCTAGGACGACGGCTCCAAGTGCAGCATCTTTTCCTTTGACATAACGGCAAACAAGTCTCGCCTGCCTCTCGCCCGCAATGCGCTCCGAAAGTTGCGAACCCTGCGCCACCCAGGGGTAGTCAAAGTCCTCGATACCGTCGAGACCGACACATACATATACATCGCCACAGAGCGACTCAGCCCGCTCAGCTGGCATGTAAAGAGAAGGAGTCTGACTGGAGAAACTACCAAATGGGGACTGCACAACGTCGCAAAAACGCTCAAGTTCGTAAATGCCGACGCTGCATCCATACACGGCTGCATCCGTCCAGCCTCCATCTTCTTCAGTGAAAGCGGCGAGTGGAAGCTGGGCGGCTTTGATGCGCTCAGCTCTGTGAAGGAGGATGATTCCATCATACCCACCTATGGCGGCCTCATACCTGATGCAGCGCGATACATGGCGCCAGAAGTTTCCAAAGGAGGGTGGGAAGTTGTCAAGCAAAATCCAACACATGCTCTGGATGCATACAACTTTGGTATCTTGATCTTTGAGGTCTTCACTGGCAACTACAACAGCAGCGACCAATTGGGGCAAATGAAGAGCATCCCTCCAAGCATGCACCAGTCCTACAAGCGCCTTCTTAATCCTAACCCCAAAGCCCGTATGAGCATAAGCCAGTTCTTGGATCAGGGGAAGCGCGTAGGAGGATTTTTCCAAACACCGTTGATTCAAGTCACGGATGATATTGAGAACCTAGGCCTCAAAGCTGAGGACGAGCGGAATGAGTTGCTTGGGTTGGTTTCTCTGCGATAATACCCTGGCTAAAGATGCTAATCGATACCAGGAAGCTGGACGCCGTCGCAGACGACTTCCCTGCTGATTTCTTCAAAATGAAGGTCCTCCCCGAACTGCTCAAGTCCGTAGAATTTGGCGGTGGAGGTGCCAAAGTATTTGGCACAGTGATGCAAATAGGTCAGAAGCTGTCAGACGAAGAATACGAGGCCCAAATCACGCCGGTCGTGGTACGGTTGTTTGCCAATCCTGACCGAGGCATTCGCGTGTGCCTCCTGGACAACCTGCCGCTGATGATCGATCATCTCTCACAAAAACTTGTCAGCGATAAGATATTCCCGCAGATGGTAAGCCGCATCAAGGTTGTCTTGGAGTTTGTTCTGACCTTCAAAAGGTTACTGGCTTCTCAGATGTCGCCCCTGTGGTCAGAGAACAAACAGTCAAGGCCGTTCTTACAGTAGTGCCTAAACTTTCAGACCGAATCATCAATGGCGAGCTTCTCCGCTATCTAGCAAAGACTGCCAATGACGAGCAACCTGGTATCCGGACGAACACTACGATATGTCTAGGCAAAATCGCGCGGAACCTCGGTGCAAGTGTAGGTTTATTCAAGATGTTCTTCGAGTGATAGCATGCTAATGCCAGAACAGAGTCGAGCTAAAGTTCTCTCTGCCGCCTTCTCACGTGCACTACGCGACCCGTTTGTACATGCACGAAATGCAGCTCTTCTTGCATTGGCTGCGACCGCGGATCTTTTTAGCGAGGAAGACTGCGCGAAGCAACTTCTCCCGATTATGTGCCCATCGCTCGTGGACAAAGAGAAACTTGTCCGCGACCAAGCTCAAAAATCTGTTGATGTGTACATTGCACGTATCCGCAAGTTTGCTGCTACCATGCCTGAGACTGTATTGCCATCACCAGGACTTCCTACTGTTGGAGGATCTTCGCCGCGCATAGGGACCCCAGCCAACGACACTTCGTGGGCTGGCTGGGCCATCTCGAGCTTCACGAATAAGCTGGCAACAACAAGCGGACAGATGCAAGCTGGCTCAGGGACTAATGGAACAGCTGATCAAAGACCCTCTTCTGTACCGGCTGTGACGACTCAGCCACCAGTTCCATTAGCAAGTAAACCTGGAATGACGCTTCACAGCGCTAAGAGCACCGCATCGATACCCACCATTGCATCACCAGATCCAGCCGCCGACTTCGATGACGAAGCAGAAGACTTCAACAATGATTGGGGCGGCTTTGTTGACGAAGAGGAAAAACCGAGGGAGGAAGATGATCCATGGGGCACACCAGCAGTATCAAAGCCAACATCTACAACAGCGTTTGATGACAAGGGCGAGCCTGACTTTGCGGGGTGGTTAGCAGCACAGTCGAATGCCAAGAAACCCATCAAGAACACCCTGCCCAAAGGTCTTGCCAAATCTACTACACCAGCCGCCAAGGCACCTAGACCTGTGATTGGAGGAAGGTCAAGTACAACAGGATCGGCGACGAGGAAGGTTGTTGTAGCGCCAAAGAAGGAGGTCAAGAAGGAGGAACCAAAGGCGAATGAGGAGGAAGAGGAAGGATGGGGTGATGCATGGTAGTCGTTTTGTGTCCTGTAGACGACGTCAATTGTTCAGCATAGCGAAGGCGTCTTGTAGGGTAGAATGCTTAATTATACATTTCTTGTTTCGATACTGATGTATAGCTTTGGGGTCATGGCAGTCTAGTGGATACAGTATGTTACAGTCATTATCACTTGTTTGGGTTTACTCTTTGTCCTCTTTTTCACGCTTCCCGAATGTGTACGCCAAACCGCAGCCTACGACGTTGACTGCGCAAAGAGCCAATGATGCTCCTCTTACCACGCCTCGTACGGTGAATTTGTTTCTGATGCCCTATATTCTTGTTAGTTTTGCAAGCATTCATTGGGCTAGGTGGTGAGCGAGCCTTTCACCCATGGCAAAATTGAACATACCTGACTCCTTCGCATAGCAAGCAAAGCATATAATCCACTCCATGCAGCGGTGATACCAGCTGAGTCTGTCTTGTAGTTGCTCAGATTCAGATATGACGAGAACAGCAAGACTGGTGGGAACATCATAGGGAAAACTTGGAAGGGCCGAGCATGTTGGGCGGTGATGAGCGTAGCCAACAGCGTAGGTGGTACAGAGTTTTCTGTGAATAGTCAGCCAGTTTGATTCGTATACATCCTGATGCCAATGCGTAGAGTGAAGCACGTGAGTGCTGGAAGCAGGAAAGGGACATGACAAACGTACCTCCCCAATTGCGGAGGGATTGAAGCGCAGATTGTTTGGGTGGTTGTTGAGACATTGTATATGCTGCAAAATTAAGTGGGGGCAACAATAGACAGATTGTATGTATAGAGAGGTGTGTGATTCCTGGAGAACTGGTTGCGCAAAGAGACCGGGGTCGAGGAATTGGTGAAGTTCAATGACGTTAGGTCAGGAAGTGGGCCGCCAGCCCGTGCCAGCCTAGATTCGGTCAACTGGCCTCGTCGGGTCTCGCGAACTTCAATAACAGATAGCGGCTTTAACCCACGACTCGAACCACAGCACCGCACCGCCGCTTCCGCACCACTCGTTTCCCGTACCCAGACACACACGCTGACTTTCAGTATCACACCAGCCAGACGTCTATTGCTTGCGCACAGGCTTTCCATTAACACCGCTGCCCACACGGCGGCTTAATCTCCCCCGTCCACAAAAGTACACGCATACCCCACACAACAACAGCCCTCCGGCCAACATGTCAGGCAAAACCTCTGGCTCCGACGCCAAACCGCGGGAACATCACGACGGAAGCGCCGGCCGAGCCTTTACCGTAGAGCAAAAAGCCGCCGTCATACGTATCAAACAATGCGCGCCGACCGCTTACTACAAGATTCTTGGGCTTGAGGAAGTAAAAGCCACCTGTTCAGACTCGGACATTAAGAAGGCATACCGTAAGCTTTCATTACTTACACACCCGGACAAGAATGGATACGACGGTGCAGACGAGGCGTTCAAGTTGGTCAGCAAGGCATTCCAGGTGCTGAGTGACCCGGATAAGAAGAAGAAGTACGACCAGTTTGGATTGGATCCCGATGCAAGATTCGATCCGCGGGCTGCGGCGGGAGCGAGTGGTGGCGGAGGTCCGAGTCCGTTTGGAAATGGATTTGCAAGAAGAGGACCGGCCGGCTTTCAGGAGGAGATGACACCAGAGGAACTGTTTAGACAATTCTTTGGGGGCGCTTTCGGAGGGCCATTCGGTATGTCCAGCACTCCCCGAGACACTGTGCTTGGCAGTGGTATCACAGTCCAAACAGACATTGTAAACTAACGTGTAACGCAGGCGGCATGGACACTGGCCCAGGCTTCGTCTTCAACCTCGGCGGCGGCCCAGGAATCCGCGTCCACCAATTTGGCGGCGGCCACCCACGCAGGCGCCCCGGCACTGCCGCGCCCCCCGGCTCCGAAGGCCAACAAAACCTCTCCTCGGCCTTTGCGAATCTCCTGCCCCTCCTCTTCCTCTTCGTCCTTCCCCTCCTCTCGTCCTTCTTCTCCACTTCCTCCACAGCCGCAGGCCCCAATCTCGTCTTCGAAACCCCCCGCACACCCAACACACTCAAGCGCGTCTCCTCGCGTATAAAAATTGACTATTATGTCAACCCCAAGGACGTCCACGACTACACTCCTAAAAAATGGCGCAAACTCGATGAGGTGGCCGAGCAGCAGTACGTCCATATCACAAACACGAGGTGTCAGTCCGAGAAGTACAAGCAGAGGCAACTTATGGAGGATGCCCAGGGCTGGTTCTCGGTCGATACGGAGGCAATGAATAAGGCGAGAAATATGGAGTTGAAGAATTGTAATAAGCTGAAGAAGCTGGGCATAGATGTTTATGGGGCGTGAAAGTAAACTTATGAGTGTTATCCGTTTTTTTCCTAGGCATATTATGGATTGTGCTATTCTTCTTTTTTTTGAAGTTGTTAGATTGAAAGTTTTTGATATGAGCGACTTTTTCTTTAATTTCTTGGTTTGAATGGGGACGGTTTGGGGCAAGAAAATACTTGTTCAGATGCACACGCATGGCGTATGGGGATTGGGGGCCCGGGGTGTTTGCTGATAAAGCGGTGCGGGTGGTTTTGTTTCTTAACGCAGCGATTCAACGTTTCTCTTCTCTTCACTAAAATCTAGTCTGCTGCTTGGGCTTTTTGCGTCCAGGGATGTTTTTTTTATTTCTCCCGTCTTCTTCTTTTGTTACCCAAGATTGTAAGGAGAAAGAACTGAAAAATAGAACTAAGTATCGTCGCATTGGTATTGTACAGGTGGATATAGTACAGTCATTTCGTTACCACGTATGGAGCCCATCTTTCTTCCCTTACAACAATCCCAACCTACAAAATTCAATGGACCCTTGGGACCATCTCCTAAAACCCCCAAAACCGCATAACCCTCGTCTTCACCCCCTCCCAACTATTCAACTTGGGCCTCACATCTAGATAAAAATTGAGAGCCTTCCCTACCTTGCCCTCATCCCTGCCCGCATAAAAATCAATCACGTACTCAATCTTCGTACCACAGCGATCCACAACCCAGTCATGGCGATCAAACGGCGGCTGATACCCCATTAGACTCTTCCAGCGCGCCCTCGGCGTCAAGCTGGTGCTGAGACCCGAGAAAGAAGCAAGTTTGGGACCGCCGCAGGCCTCGGAGCCACGGCCTGCTTCCCAGCGCTTTATTTCGTGCCAGGCGCGCTCGTTGACAGCGTTGTGGATGGGGACTATGGTGCGCATGTCCGGGGCGGAGGGGTCGTAGGATTTGCGGCGCATGGCATCGAAGAACATTTGCTCAGAGGGGTAGATCCAGTTTCCGGTTGTTTTGTCGGCGCCAGTGTCGCGCTCGTTGTTGGCGGGGCGTTGGGAGGGGGTGTCTGGGAGGGCGCGTGGGATGGTGCTGACTTCGCGGTCGGTGCCGAGCCGGATTTGGGAGAGGAGGCCTGTGCTTGTTGGAGGCGGGGAGGATGTACTTTGGTCGAGCGACGAGGAGTCACAGGATTGCTGGACGACGGATTGTGGCTGTGATCGTGGGAGTGTTGCTGGCGGGGCGGCGGGCGTGGGTATGGGTGTGTGGTGGGGATTTGGTGGCGCATTGGCATTTTGGGCGCGGGCCTGAGCAAGCCATGCCTCGCGGGTCTTGTGGTCTACGGGGCAGGCTGCTGCGGGGTCGTCTTTGGAGGACATTGTGGTGGTGTTTGGTTATATAGAATGGAATTCCAACATGTTAGGCATGGTGACGGCAGTGGTTGGAGAAATGTTGCGCACGGACTCTGCGGAAGTCGATTCGCTGTGATTGGTTGGCCTTGTCGTGGGTTCCTGCGCAGCCATGGATAACTTTTCGGTCAGCGAAAATGAGCGCGAATGTATTTAGCGTTGGACAATGCAAGGATTACAGATGACAGGGGAATATCTCCCCAACCGAAGGTAATCTCATTATTTCTAGGTACGATTGGTTGATACGTCTCCATAGATTACGAAGAGGTGTGTTGGTTCCTTCTATAGGCTATGGAGGAGACTCGTACGTGTATTATTCAGTATCAAACGCCAAGGTTGGATGGACTTACTACCACTTTGCCCAGGATCAACGTTGGTAGGTAAAACATGCTCTGACTACCCTTTATGTATGGACAAGTCAGTTATCATCCAGCCCCAAAGCGGTGTTGTTCCGACTCCCCTTGGCGCCTTTCGGTCCCCGCTTGCTAGGCCCTACCGTACTTAGACCCTGCATATAAATAACAACGTTACCACGTCCTCCGACTTTCACAGCCTCTACTCCCCCCAATTCCCCCGCCTGTTGACACTGATTTGAAAACATATTCTCAAAATGTCTGACATCCACCGTGCCAGCACGACCGCCCCCGTCAACATCGCAGTAATCAAGTACTGGGGAAAGCGTGACCCAAAGCTAAATCTCCCCACCAACTCTTCCCTTAGCGTGACCCTTGCGCAGTCCGACCTCCGCACCCACACCACGGCCTCTTGCTCTTCTAGCTACCCGAAAGAAGACACCCTTCTTCTCAATGGCCAGTCTCAAGATGTCTCTGGCGCCAGAACCCAAGCCTGCTTCAGGGAATTGAGGGCGCTGAGGAAAGAGCTCGAGGCGAAGGACTCTAGCCTGCCCAAGTTGGCCGATCTCCCCCTCCGTATCGTTTCTGAGAACAACTTCCCCACCGCTGCTGGACTGGCCAGTTCAGCTGCTGGTTTTGCAGCACTTGTCCGCGCAATTGCCAACCTATACGAGCTCCCAGCTTCGCCCACAGAACTCTCCCGCATCGCTCGTCAAGGTTCGGGTTCAGCATGCCGATCACTCTTTGGCGGATACGTAGGCTGGGAGCAAGGCTCTGCTGCAGATGGCAGTGACAGCGTAGCTTTCCAGGTCGCACCTGCAAGCCACTGGCCAAACATGCGTGCAGTCGTTCTAGTCGTCAGTGCAGCAAAGAAGGGTGTGTCGAGCACCACTGGCATGCAAACCACAGTCGCAACCTCGAGTCTCTTCCAGTCAAGAGCCAGCGAGACGGTACCAAGGCGCATGAAGGAAATGCAGGACGCCATCCAGAACAAGGACTTTGAGGCATTCGGCAAGGTTACCATGATGGACAGCAACTCCTTCCACGCTACCTGCCTCGACACATTCCCACCCATCTTCTACCTCAATGACGTTTCCCGCGCTGCTATCAAGATTGTTGAGAGCATCAACGCAGCAGCAGGCAAGATCATTGCAGCATACACTTTTGACGCCGGTCCAAACGCTGTCGTTTACTACCTTGAGGAAAACGAGAAGGAGGTTGCAGGCCTCTTCAAGACCATTCTCAGCGAGAAGGATGGATGGCAGGGCCAGAGGGGACAGGCTGTCCAAGCCAACGCAGAGGCTCTTGAGAAGGTCAAGTCTGAGGCTGGACCTGCTATTGCACTACTAGAGGAAGGTGTCAGCAGGGTTATCTTGACCGGTGTTGGTGAGGGACCAGTCAGGACTGAGGAAAGCCTGATTGACGAAAAGGGCGAGCCTGTCAAGAGCGGCTAGAGTTTTCACTCTCGGTGAAAAGGTCTGAGAATATAGAACATAGTATGATTTGGAGCACAATACCATCCACCCCAGCTAATACTGAGCTTGTCCCTGCTATGAGAGTACAGATAAAGAAGAAGTGAAATCAATAAGAGCATTGCATGAATTAGGTGGGTTAAACTGTACGACTCATAAATACACAACCCTCTCCAGGTAAGGATATCTGCAAACAATGCGTTACGCCATGGTATCGGAATCCCCTCCCCGAGTATACCATTTAACGCCTTGAAAATAAGAGTCAAAGAACAAAAAAAGAAAGATCATTTACACAGATGCTAGTTGTTGTCATCTAATCCAAGACGACAGCAAGGATGATGATGACCAAGACAATAGCCAAGATAAGCAACAGGATACACGCCTTGCTCCTAGCACTCTTCTGGTAGTTGCTAGCCTGCTTAAGATTTATATGCGCGCCTCGCGACGCATCATGCGTCGTCTCAACATTTTCCTCGATGATATCGAGCTGGGCCCCTTGCTCATGCACCATGTGGGCGACATCGCGAAACAGCTCGTTGAGCTCGCCGACCGACTGCTCGATATTGCGGATCTCGGACTCGCGCTCGATGATGAGGGATTCCTGGAAGTCGACCTCGTCCTGGTTTGCGAGGCGTAGCTGCTCCTGCTCCTGCAGCTGGTGACTGCCGTAGTCTCCCCGCTCTTCGCTTGGCGAGGTTGCGTCTTGCAGGGCGGTACGAGCGGCTTGTGCGGACTGCTTTTCCTTTTCTAGCGCCTGCTTCTGCAGTTGTTGGAATTCGGTGAGGGAGGCTTTGAATTCGCGCTGTAGCTTTGACTGAGTGAATTTCTGCGAGGGCTGTTTTCATCGGTTAGCTAAAACGGTGCTCGTGTTTTTCCATGGGGAAAGGCTTCGGTTTCTACGTACCCCGACGTCTGGCCATGTAGTGATCTTCTTGAGGCTCTCGCCGAGTTCTTTGAACTTGTCCGATGTTTCTTCGACTGTTGTCTTGACGCGCTCGCGCACACGGGCGGTCTCGTGCTTGGTTCCTAGCTTGGCGGTCTCTTGCGACAGGCGGGCGACATTGCGGGTGAGGGCAAAAAGGTCGTCGGAAAGCTTGTCGGCAAAGTCACGGAACTCGGGGTCATCAGCGTAGGCTGCGTCGTCTTCCCGGCGCCATGTTGTAGGCTGCGATTCGAGGGCACTGGAGCGCTGGAATGACATGGTGGTGTTGAACAGGGGCGGAGCACACGATGGCTCGGTTACACAGTGATATGAGAGGTGTCTAGATCCCAGCGACTGTCGACGTGACTGCGGGCGAGTGATATGGTGATGCAATTGTCGGTGCCTGGGGGGTTGGATTGGTCTGGTCTGCTCGCTCGGACGGTTCCTGCGACGATGACGACGAGCCGCGGGCCAAGGGCACATGGCACGGGCGGGTCCGCTGTTATGTAAGCAAACATGCAGCAACTTGTAGCTCCGCCGACCCATGTTTGTTTGACGAAACCTTGGGCGTCTTTGTATCGCTGCAACGCCCTGCGCGCAACCACTTTTGCTGCCCCCGTCCACATTTTCTACTGGCACGACGCCGTTTCTTTGCTTCTTGATATGCTATAGCCGTTTCCTCACTCATACATTCTCTCCAGTCGCGACTTACCGCAGCCATGACGCTCGCACAGCTGGGCACTCAAGTGCGCCCGTACAGAGACTACCTGACACCAGCTCTCCACCGCAGGTTCAACAGGGCGAGCAAATACACCTTGTTGCTCTGCTACGCGATCGCGTGTTGGATGGGCGAATGGGCTAACCGTACGATGACCCTCACGAAACAAGAACCCAGATACTAATTCGCATACAGCTCTATGGTCGTTTTTTCCACTAGGCCTTACAGGCATCCGAACACTTCTGCTATTCCTCTCCGCGCTTTCCGTCTACGTCCTTCGCGTTTCCCAATGGCACGTCGGCCCCCGCCAGACACCTACCCAGGCCCAGACGTTCACCAAGTACTTCTTTCGCCTGTCCACTATCGTTACTCTCGTCGCCTATGCCTTTTCCGCTATGATGTTTGTCGAGACGTATATCTGGTCGAGGGGCCCTAAGGACAGACTCGCATTCATCGAGGCTGGGCGCATGCACGAGCGGTTCAGGCTGAACGAGAGACCGCTCTACCTGCGCTACTCTTTCTACCTTCTCGCAGTCGCGCAGTCCTGTGTTCACCTATGGAGAGACTATGACAGGATTGATGTGCCGGCAATGAAGCCCAAGAAGGACCGTGGCGACGCTGCACCGGCGCGACGAGCACCCAAGCCCAGACATGTGCTCATCAAAAATTTCAAGGGCATGGCAACCAAGTCGAGCTCGCTGGTTACCATCATCACTATTATTGGATTTATCTTCTACTTCACAATCACGCGCAACCTGATCTGGAGTTATTATTACAGCCTCGGTCGCTATCTCTGGAGCCTTTCCAAGACCTCCACTCCCACCGGCCTAGCTCCTTTCTTACCTCTGTGTCTGATGTTCATTACCGAGGGAACGCTTCTGGTCCTACTATGGGAGTTTGTCAACAAGACTTTCGACGTGTACATTGCGCAGGAGCCGCTGAAGAATGACAATCCCATTACAAACGATTCAAAAGACCCTAACGGCTCGCTCTTGAATGGGCTCAAATCGAAGAAGGACACTGTCAAGGTATGGAGAGGCGATGCATGTCCGTGATCATGGCTGACTGAATCTAGGCAATCGCTTTCTGGGAGCTTGCTCTCATCACAGACGCTTTCCCCGACCGCCGTAAGACGCTATACAGTGAGATGGATCGCAAAAAGGCGCCTACCCACCAGCAAGTTACAGACTTGTGTCTCGGAGAGTTGAAGTTTCTCATCGAACGCCTAAGTGTTGGTCTCGATCCTGCGTACAACCCGGTCGTTGGAGACGGCAAAGAGCAATCGGCGGCACCTGTCAACCTGATACCACGGATTTCACAGCCACTCAAGGACGACAAAGCGATTGCAGCACCGCCACCAAAGCCAAACTCTCGATTGGAGCATTTCGAAGCAGCAACAGCGGATCTCGCAAAGTCTCACAGCGCTCCTGGCAATGCCCAAAAAGCGTACAGCCGAGAGGCTATCAACAAAGGGCTGAGCAAGGCACAAGAGGGTGCTAAAGAGGCGGAGTCGCTCTTCACAACATACTACAACAAGTTCGTGTCTTCATCGGTTGGCGCTCTTTTCAGACAGTCCGTTCAACGTACAGCAAGCATTGTTGTTCTCGGAGCGCCATACTCGCGAATTTCGTTGATTTGCAACGCCGTCACTTCCCTTGCGAATCTGGCCGTGTCCTCTCTTAGCGAAGACTCTCTCGGCCGTTTTCACGAAGGTATTCCGGCTATGGTGCGTGTGCTTACTATAGCACTCAACAAGCTCGACGAGTACATGGAGATAGTTCCGATACACCCAAGCGATATCGAAACACTTGCCAAACCAGAAGCAGAGAGGAGAAAGGTACCCGAGGTGAATGAAGTCAGGGAATGTCTTCGAGAAGGATTGGAGCGGATCCTCGGTAGCTTCAATGAGTATCTGAGTAGTATGGGACTCAGCAGACTGGAGATTATGGAGGCAAAAAAGGCGGCGAGTGCCAAAAAAGCACCTGAGATGATTCAGGCCGGGGGAAGATAGTAACGGCCCCTGTTTTAGTGTTTTCGCGTAGTGTACCGATATGTAGAGCTTTTGATATACCCCTGGTAATTTAAAAAAAAAGTACGAATTACTAGAGTACTGCGCAGACCCGATAGCAAACTAACATTGAGTTAGAAGAAGCAGTGAAAACGTTGCTATTGGATGTTCTTACTAATAGGAACACTGGTTTTGCTTATGTGAAAGTACTAATTTCATATATAATGATAGACATGAAGTAGGTAGCAACAATGAAAAGGGTAGCTAATAGTTCGTACTGGTGACACACGAATCGCTGGTGAGCTAAGAGATGGTTTGTAGGGCCTATATCTGGCTGCGTAACTCAAGATCGACTGAGGAAGTCTCGAAAGGGCCATGTGGGATTGGTCTCTGCTACCTCTACATCACTTCATACAGAAGATACACCCACTGCTTTTCTATGGTCCATCACTCTATCATCTCGCCTCGTAATGAGTAAGTAGTGACAGAATAAGCCCAACCATACAGAACCCGCCATAGGTACGTTCGCTGCAATAATAACCAAAGAGAATACACAAAATCTGTACGAAGCCAACATAAGAAGGAAGGACAAAACCCGAAGCAACAGCTATAAAGTATATATAGATTTCATTATTGCACTCATCGTAATTCATCCAAGTTGTACTCTTCTACACATTGTCTATTTGACAAGATCGTTATTTGTCAGTCTTTAGCAATATACATTAGGCTCTCTACTGAATGATCAACTCCCATAACTCTTCACTGCTGCGCGCTAGATAAACTCACAACAAAATAACATAAGATGTCCCTGTCTTAGTGCGGACCAGGACAGCAAGGGAAAGCAGAAAGATGGTTAAAACATTTTAGTGGTTCAATGATGGGTTGGTGGAGCTGTGAGCAGCTGAACCGAGTACAGGATTCCAGCCAAGGCTCTAAGTATGCTTCATCAGGAGGTATGCATATGCTAAATGTAAGATACGAGAGAATACTAACTATGTACTCTGCTAAACGGAGAAGACCTCTGCTACTATATATAGTGCTAGCATTACACGTGCTCTTTGCGTAATATGCACCTGCAAAGTCAACACCGTTCTTCGTCTTAGCGAATATGTCGGTACTAAAGCCAAGCTAGTCGTACTATCGATCTACCAGGTAGAACATATCCGGTATACATGCGCTTCATCACCCTGTCTCATGACATATCCAGCCTGGAATAACCCCAAAATAGGATATGATCATCAATTTTACTGCCACATTTCTCGAGCCCCCACTATGGCAAAATGGCGCATTAGCAAAGAGTGTCCATTGCGGGAATTGGGCTGCCTGGATCATAAGCGCCATGCAGCACTCCCCAACTACATTGCCAAACTAGGCTCGGTGCAGTGAGGCCTCGCATTGGGCACCCTCGATAAATGAACATGGTGAGAATGCTATAGCATTGATGCAGTTCTTGCGAGTGTTTCTCATCGTCTTGATGCCATTGTCGTCTTTTTCTTAAAGCCAGCTTGACATGAATTCGAATAGAACTAATCACCAAGCGTCACGCCTTCCATCTGTACACCTGAGCTGTTTGTGGTCTCCTGAAAGACTTTGGCAGAATGTAAAGTATGCTGGAGACGAAGGCGATTCGGATAAGCGGCGCTTTGTCACTCTTTGTAAAGCGAATTGGGCAAATGATCGCCACTTATCCACTTGGGCTAGTTTTAGATCGATATGAGTGTACGCCTATGCAGCACACGTCTATTCATGATACCGATACCACCATGGATAGTAGGCAGATGTGGCTTCCTCTCGAAATGATTCTTGATGACTTTGTCGATGTGATAGACCAAGGTAAATTTATGGCGGTTGAGAAAGTTACGATGGAGAATACTAGCGTTATGCGCTGGAGAGCTAGGTTGAGATGGTTGAAGAGGGAAAATGGCGGGTTGACCGGAAGGGTATTGTGGCAGGTGTCTTGGCCAACTGGGATACCCAGATGAAAACGAAGCTATCAATCGCAATCAGCCGCCTTTACCACAACATAACTAGGAAGATATGTTCTTCTAAATGTAAAAATAATGGACCTGATTTATGGATCAATGTGCTCAAAAAGTTCTATTTCTTCATTTTTCTGATGTTTAGTTACACCTTGTTGGTACGGCGCTTTTTTAGTGGATGTAGTTTTCATGTAATATTCCGGTCGGCCAGGAGGAGGTAATGAGAAGTGGGGCGAGGTGGATACGGAGGCGCTCTGGCCGGATTATCAACTGCCGAGGAGTTGGTAAGGTGCTGAGTAAGTACATTGTCTGTGGTTTCGTCTTGATGAATCTTTTTTTAGAAACCAAGAGATCGAGAGTGAAAAGTATGACATCGCGCTGTAGTAAGACATGATTTACTTCTTCACCCTCTTGTCTACAAGGATTTGCCTCTTATCTGTGAAAAACAATCCCTGCGCTTTAAACTTGGCATTCAACTTCATTGTCAACAAGATATCAAATATTGTAGTTTGGTGGGCATTCTGCAATAGCTAGTAGTACTGGTCTCGCATTTGATGGCTTCTACTGTTTAAGAGCCGAAGTATCGTTGCGACAACATTAACTAACGCTGACTTAGAATCAACTCTCGCATGGAACAAAGGAAATTCTTTGGTTTGCAGGAGATCCTGCTATAAACTGATATCGATACCATCCCAATACTGTTCTGCTACGAATCTGTCGGGAAGACGAATATCAATTTCATTCACCACGCTTGCGATGGCAATCCGTAATTCCATGTTGGCTGATGTTTTATTGACGCAGCTGTGTGGCTGTGTGCCAAATGAGATAAGTGCATTCGTATTGAGCACCAACTCAGGTTTTGATGTCCCTGATTCAAGCAGAAATCTGCCCGGGTTTACAAAATCTCACGAACTGCAGAAGGTTGCGAAAGACCAGATTTAAGTAACTGTATTTCCAGGAATAAATTGCGAATCGATTTGTAGTCCAGATAATGGGGTGTCGCGCTGAGGTGCAAAAAATATTGACAGCCATAAATGCATTGACTATTGTATCACTGCGTCGAGCATTGGAAGTAGCCGCTGGCAGTTGAAAGATAAACAGTTACGAAGACGCTGTTGTATGCGATGCCAATACCATCTCGAATCCCAAGTCTATTTGACGGTCCACAATTTCGACAATTTTGCACCGAATGGTCCTGGGAAATGCCTGAACGGACATCAGAATGCATGGTAAAGCAAGATCCATAGAGAGAGCGCCCCAAAAAGCTATATATAAAACAACAGTCGGTCCGATATCCTGGTAGAAAGCGAGTAGTAAGGAGAAGAGACTGGAGAAAACAAGTCTTGGGAGAACAAGGCCATCGACCTCCACACACCTCAATACTAATTTGTGAAAAATGATTGAGAGGAGGGGACAAAGCACAATCAAGTCTCCAAAGAGAATTCTATTTTGAGATGGTGTGCTAAAACTACCTCGCCGAACTGAGGAGGAGTGGGTATTTGTGCTATGCTAATCAACATGGGATATAAAGTAGCGATAGACATACCTCGAGCCAAAGTTGATCAGGGCCGAATCGCTGCCCCTGGGACTAGTGAGTTCACATACGCTCGGTAGACTGCAACTGTCAGGACCGGTCTCATGAATTCGAAGATAGAAACGACCTGCATTAATAAACAAGGTTCTGACATCGCGGCTTTCATGCCGATTGGTAACGGGTAGCGGTTAGTTAGGCATCCGTCCATATGGCGATACTTCGATGACTAAGTCAGCGCATCGGGAATCCTATGCCGGGACGGTTAACCGCCTTTCATGTAAGCGGTACAAGGCTCTTCCTAGCAACAACAAATCTGCACGTACACGGTAGCATACAATTGGTGTTCGACTTAGAAAGAGAATTTCATATTACATATTCTCTAAATCTTACAAATTTTGATGTCAGCGTTAGTATACAGAGCTCCCATAGACTGGAAATTACTAGCCAAGAAAACTAAACATACCTTGGCCATCTGGTTCAGGAGTCATGAATCTTGGATGGTACAAAGTACCCATGCAAATACGAGCTAAACTGCAGCACCTTACTTTCTGTGACTTGCCGGAATTCTCAAGTGGGGCTACATCCATGCATAACCGAATCAAGTCTTCATAAGTACATCGATTAGAAAATAGCGGGGATACCAGCATTCATGATTCGATAAGTAGACCAATACCATGCTAGATGCTTACTTACTTAATCTGACCTGACTTTATTTCATTCAAGTACATGCCAGCCGGAACGGGTTGTGCTAACCCGAAACTTTCTGGACTTCTCGAAATCCTTTTGGACGCTCTTCACTGATGCAGGGCATACTGCCACCGCCTCAAGGCGTGATACCAGACTTTAGTGGCACAAGATCAGCTCTACAGCATCAAGTGCTGATTTCATGCATCGCGGCCACCGCGGTTTCAACATTTTTCCTAGGCCTTCGATTGTATACACGCATCTTTCTCAATCGCAAACCAGGTTTTGATGATTTACTCATGTGCTTTAGTTGGTTGGGATGCATTGCCTGGTTCATCACATGTATCTCCGGTATGATCTCTGCTTTTGTGGACCGTTGATGAAAACTGACAGAATAGGATTTCAATTTGGATTGGGCCACCACGCCTGGAATGTCACGCCTGATAAGTTGATGGGCTATCTCAAGACAATCCTCGGACTAGCCCTTATCTACATCTGGACACCAGCACTCACAAAGCTCTCTTTGCTCCTTCTGTACTACCGGATAAACACTGACGCTCGGATGAGAATCATAATTTACGCGCTCGGGATCTTGACAATTGGCTACAGTCTTTCCATCACTATTGTTGCCGTTGGACCTTGTAACCTCCTCACTTATGTGAACGGGAAATGTTTGAGAGATGTTAATCTTGTTATGGCCATCGATAGGTCATTATTCTAGTTACTAAACTCCACTGTACTAATTGCCTGCAGTCCATATTCTCACGGATTTCTGCATCATTCTATTACCGCTTCCAATGTTACACGGTCTTCAGCTACGTATGAAGCAAAAGATCCTTTTGGGCATAGTGTTTACATTAGGATCTGGGTAAATTCTCAAATATGACCTTTTACGCTAGGATATCGACTAATCAGGTGGGCAATCTAGGGTCGTCATCGTCTCTATTGTTCGAATCATTTACATATATAATTACATCGGTAATCTGGATATTACATTCTACCAAGCCAAGTCTAGCATCTTCTCTGGAGTTGAATTGAATGTAGGGATCATTTGTGCATCAATGGCCACATTGAAGCCTTTCATTGTCAAATACATGTCCTTCTTATTGCCTTCGACCGAAAACAGCCAAAGATCAAAATCTAAGAGTTGGGCTTTGAGTTGGTTAAGACCATCTCGAGGTCAGAACAAGAGTTACGCACTAGGCAGTTTGGACAATCACAAGGCGAAGCCGGTACAAAACGAAGAGGGGTCCAGTATCCAAGTCTCGACTCAATATTTTGTAACTTCGACAGAACGCCCGTTGAAGGACAGTGATAGCACTGAGAGAATTATCGCACCTGATATAAGGAAGGATATGTGATGGAGGTAACATAATTTACCATGCCCTACCGCCATGCGCGCGCGGCCCCACCACAACAACTTCAACAATAGAGTTATAGAGGCGCACTAGAGGCGATCATTGTATTATATCTTAACAGTAGACTTATTAGACTCAGGCTCCCCTAGCCCTGCTTCAATTATTAGGATCAATCGCCAATTTGCTCCATCGAGTACTTTGAAGAAGAGTGTCGAGACTATGGAGATTGGGTGGGTAATCTAAGTGGGCGTGAAGAAACTATTTAATCTACCTTGTTGAATCTCATATGCATACAGAAAATCGATTGGAAACCCCGCTGAACAGGCTTTTAAACAGGAATAGCGCAATCAAAGGGTGATCAAAGATGGCATAGAGGTGATCTAGTATCCAAGAAGAACTTGCAGTGAATTATTTTGCTTGAATGAATCCGTTCCAGCGTACTAGCCACTTTCGTACGCATGACGATAGCGAACCAAGTTCCGGCGGCTCTAAGAGGGAAACTAATGATGTAAATTTTCAGAGTGAACAGATCTCGTCGACATGACTATGCCAATCTTGTTCAAATCAAACTGTTTCCCTACAAAGTCCGCGAGTAAGCACAACTCTCTATGCAGAATCCGAGGCTGGTGAAGTTCCCTTATGGGGCTCAATTGAGCGCGGCATTGATGTGCGATCTTTGAGAGACCCTTGGAAAGACCTACAGCCGCAATGAAAGATCATCTCTTATGCAATTCTTCAGATTTCGATGTCTGAGCGCACTTGCTGTGAAGAGATCGAGCCGGCTGGAGTATGTGCCTAAGCTGACCCACGGTGCGGTGCGACTGGAGCTCCCAGCAACAGCTTAAATGTTTTTAGCAGCGGCGAAACTAATTTCATCACCAGGTTTGGGTTGGGTTTCCAAATACATATTGGCAAGAAAGCGACTAAGAGGGGAAAGATCCTAAGGAGTTCCACGCTGCGCTCGCAAAATCTGGATGGCTAGGTATTGCGCTTCCGGAGGGCCTAGACGTCTCTGGGCTGGGTATCTCGGGGGCAACTATCATGGTGCAAACGATCGCTGAGTACAGAGCAGGTATGACTGGCGCATAGTCTGTCCAAGCAAATATGTACGCCACTTGACCGCTGGCCAAGTTCGGTTGACAGGAACAAGTTGAGACGATAATGCCTGAGATCGTCTCTGGAGACACACGCGTAGGTTCCGGTGTAACGGAGCCAAACGCTGGGCTCTACACTCTTCGGCTTGCAAATACTGCTAAGAAGAACTCCTATAGATCATACAGCGTAACTGGATAGAGGATCTGAATTATCTGTGCTCAGGTTGGGTCGAAGATGGCCCTCCTTGCCCAAACAAACTCCGTTGGAAGAGGTTGGGAAATCGAGTGAGGGTCTTTCGTTATTTTGATTTGATATTGGTGACCGCAACAAGCCCGGCATTGATCTCGGAAAAATCAAGAAGATGTGTGGCCGTACTGTTGATGCCAATGAGGTCTTTTCTGACGATTATTCGATCTCTGCAGACTAGCTCATTGGTGAGAAGGGTAATGCCTTCAAGATGATATTGCAAGGAACAAATTCCGAGCGCTGTCTGCTTGGCGGAGAGGCTTTGGAGCTCTATTATGCTGCTCTAAAGGAGGTCAGCGAGTACAAGAAAGAGCGTGTTGTCTTCCAACCCCCAGTGGTTCAGAACCAAGCGATTGCCCACCCCTTGGCAGATACATTTATGAGGCTCGTGGCTGCGAAACTAGCAACACACCATGCTGCTAGACTTTATGACCAGAACAAGACAGATCCTTTGGTGCGGCAAGACAAGATCTGAGTAGCGGCAAACAGTGCGAAGTTCTTAGCAGCGAAGGCTACTTTTACAGCTTGCGAGAGGGCAGTCTTGACGCATCGAGTTATGGATTACGCCATCAAATACGATATGGAAAGGCAGTTAAGATAGTGTCTCGTGCCCAGGATTGCATCCATCAGCAGAGAAATGATCTTCAACTACAATAGCGAGAGGGTATTGGAGTTGCCTTGGAGCTATTAAGAGTTGTTAGAGATGGCATATACTTCGGTATAGATGTTCCATCGGAAACTATGTATCGTACATAGAAAATCGTGTTGTTCTGGGTGAATGATAATGGACTTCTTAACTACACTGGTTCACTTTATAGTCTGGACACCTTTAAGCCTACTTTTTAGTGTCCAGTGTCACAGGGGTGAGAGGTTTTCTATGAATGATAAATGAATTCGACTGCAGACACAAGTTGAAACCTTCTCTCAAACAGACCCTCACGAGCACTCGATCCGTTACGAGAGCTTTGATATTTCTTCAAACAGGTTGCCCACCAAGCCAACGTCCGCGGCTTGATAGATAAGCATGTCGCCGTCCTCATCAATAGCAGTAATTACATTCCTGTTATCCACGCCTGCAACATTCTGGACAGCGCCGGAGATGCATACTGCTATGTATAGTTGAAGGGCAATGCCCTTACCAATCTGACCGGCTCTCTAGACGCTGCTCTTGGTGTATTGCATGCTGCTGTTGACAGCGGCAACGCCAAAAACAGTTTGCAGGTCGGCCAAAAGAAGTGTAATCCTGTTGAGTTCTTTCTTCAACTTCGGGCAGCGGCCTTCATATGCTACTCGGCTGGCCGTGGAAGGCTCAGGACGGTCATACTGCAAGTCTCTCAGCAAAAGCAACAGCCAGCAAGAAAAAGGGTAAGAAATATATACCATCGTTTCTCGAAGCCGATGCTCAAATTTGTCACTTGAAGTCAGACGACGTAAATCAGAGTATCAAGATGCGCCCTTAGGCGGCGGAAAACTTGGCCTACTGCCGAAATCAACCAATCAAGCCCCAACGATCGCAGGCGCCTTGCTACAAATCTATCGCCCAAACTAATTAATAATCAATACAAAGAACTATTCTCTGAAGCTAGTAATGGATCAAGTACACTACTGTAGTTGGCATCGTCGTGGCAAGCCCAGTTGAATTATGTCATTTTTCGGTACGAGGGTTTCTGCGCCGCCTACGGACACCCTTTACTAACCAAAAAAACCCCTCCCAAGGGAATCGCACATATTGAAATGATCAGTATCACTGCAAGCGTTTTACTGTCGGCATGGTTAGTTGTGGCAATAAAAATGTAGAAAGATGTTTTCCTACTTTCAGTGACTTGCCTGTTGTAATCGCATCTTCGAGAAGGCTATATTGGTGAACTTGCCGCGAGTTGAAGTTGAGGTGGTGTTTTCATAGGGTGATCATTAGGCCGTCATCTACAGTATACTGTGCTTTGCACATGAAACGATTGCTGTATCGATTTCTTGACGGTTACCGCGGGATATCTTGAGATTCATTCATCCTAGCCGGGCCTCTCTCCTACAACTCAATGCTAGTCTTGTCGTCATCTTATCAGATGGATGCTGCACTGCATGACTCGGTCGTCAAGGGAATACTTTGTCGGCCGAAACGCGGCACGAAAGCGGGCAAAACAATATAGCGGCACAATTGCAATTGGTAAGTATGCCCTAACTGTGGGGCCATTGGCAAGGCTTGATTTAGCTTGACTTGCTTATCACTACCTCTAATTAACAGGGAAAGAACGTAAATGTACTGTGATACAACCGTAAGCTGATGCGAATAGATCGTATACGAGAAGCTCCTAAGCAACCGAGCTTAAATTGAATTTCATGTCCCGTGCGGGCGGTTATAGTGCATGAGCGATTAGAGTGCACGGCTGCTTTAGGAAGCGGGTAGTGCAAAACGGGTATGTAGGTCCCCGCATTCTCTCCCTAAGCCTCCGTTCGGGAGTGACCGCCGTAGTCTATCCCCATTCCCGTAGGTACATCCGCATGCCGGAAACCTTATGTACAATTTATCGCACTGCGCCAAACATGTCCAATCTTATACAGGCTAGTTAGTCTTGCGGTATATTTCATATTACGCCACTTACGCTCATTCGAAGTACGTCTCCATATTTTAGATTCCTGTACGGGGTACTTGTCCTAGCGGCGTAGCTGAGCCTAGGGCGCAACCAGTGGATCCCCCACGTGAATGAGTTCCCATATCTACTTAGGTGTCTCAGATTGGGATTGACAAGAATCACCGCCCCCCACTCCCTGTACATGTAGCGCGTGCGGGTCGGCGTCCTGTGCGGGACAATGAGCTCGACGGGCATCGGACGAATATCAGTCATTAAATCAGGTGATCACAACACCCAACCAACAGACCCGTATAAGGAGAGTGTATAAGCCACGTGATATCATCATTGTGGCATGCAAGAGGAATAGACTTGGAAGATTCTTTGTACATGAACCAGCACGAAACTCTCTGACTCCTCTGTCTGAGAATTGTTGTCCTCGTTATACAGTCTCCCAAGTCGTTGATAATTACAGATATGGAAACCTGTCCATCTTTTTTACTAATTGCTCTAGATCAAACTGTGCTAAATATGCTAGTTAAGAGGGTGGGTTAAGGATAGCTAGCTTTGGAATAGATAATATAGATAATATGAATGGATTTAGACGATGACTAAATGAGTGCAGCTAATCACGTTTCAAGCAAGAATGAGGGAAGTACACATGTATTGTCAGATACAACAGTTTGTTGTTGTTATCATAACATCAAAATCGGCCGCCTAGATTACGGACCGCCTCTGCGCCAGCCGATCTAGATGTCTTGAACTGTTATGTCTCTATGTGCCACTCGATATAAATGCCTAGCTCAAAGTTTTAAGGAGCTGAGGAGGCATAATTTCTTCCGTAAAACCCCAAGTTGCCGCTGAGCTCTCTGATTCCCATGCCGCACCCGTCCAGTACGTATTGTACTGGCCTTGCATAGCATTCATGTCTTTATAGAAGCCGTTTGCCACCGCATCGCGAGAAGGGTACAAGAAGTAAGGTGAGTGGTCCAACAACCCATTGATGGTGGGCTTCTGGCCCGGGGGTGATGTTGCGTTCATTGCCTTTTGAACAAACTCGGCTCTGCCCTGCAGGCTGCTGACCGCTTCCTCGCGAGTGATTTCCTTTGCACTGCTCCACCAGAAAGCTCGCGCTTCGACATCTTTGATGCCAGACTGCGAAATACCGAGCGTTTCTGGCAGAGGCGGGATGCCTCCTTCAGCTGAGGGGTCCACAAGCTCGTAGCCAGTATCCAGAAGTAGCCCAGTGCCGTTAAGAATGCACGTCCAAGTGTGAATGTTTGAAAACTCTTTAGTGGTCTTGATTTCGTTAGGTCGGAGATCGAGGAACGGCGCCAGGTCGACGTAGCGAGGCCTGATTGCTATGACCAACTTCTTGGCGTGAATGGTTTGGGTCCCGCAAGGTCTCTGAATGACGGCAGTGACACCGTTCGCAGTTCGGGTGATCTTCTTGATGTTGCTTTCGAGGAAAACATTTTTCGCTCCCCCAAGTTTGTTGTATGCTGTATTGTAGATGATCTGATTGCCTCGGTTGGAAGTGTAAAGGCGATCGGTGGTGAACTCAAGTGTGCTGTAGTATTTCATAATGTGCAGCGTCAACAAGTCCAGCGCATTTCCTGCCTGTACATAAAACACATCGTATGCCATTGCGGTTGCGTTGTATTTCTTGAGCCACTCGCCCCAGGGCAGTAAGAGATCTTCGGGAACGGGATCCGGGAGAAAATAGCCAGGAGTTGAGAATAGATTGCCATATGACTGCATTTGCTTGAGATAAATCTCATTTGCCGCAGTGGCATTTCCTGGCGCAGGAGCAGGGAGTTCTGCACCCGTTTTGTAATCCAGGTACTTTGTCGATCCATTGGGGAAGTATCCTTCGTAAGGACCATAGTCGACTCCAAGCTGGTGGAAGTAATTTCTCGCAACCGAAGTGTTGGTGTAAAGAATAACACAGTAGTCGGTTGTTTGATTAGTTTTGGGATCAATGTACGTCGCGACATTGCCACCCAAACGAGCCTCTCTCTCGATCACAGCTACTGACTTTCCGCGTGCTGCTAGCTGAACTGAGGCATATCTAAAAGGGTTAGTGTTTTGGGTACATGCAAAGGCGTATCTCTTGCACTTACGTTCCTCCAGAACCTCCACCTACAACAATAACATCGCGCTCGACAACAGAAGGACAACTGCCATGCGAGTACGAGGACGCTTCAACATAGGCATTGATTGGCTGTAGTAAGATTTAAAAAGCCAACAACGCCGACGCTGTAATTGAGGCAAACGAGTGCATGTTGAAAAATCCTCGAAGATTGAAGGCAGTGAAGCTTGAGAGTTGACTATTAGAGTTCACAAGCGTTGTAGCCGCGGTAAGAAATGCTAACACGAGCGGCTTAAAAGCTACAACGACGAGCCTCTTGAGGCTGAGTCCATATCGTTCCGATCGCACATTGACACCAAAACAAAGTTTCGTTTGGATTTCCCCTTAGATATTCTGGATAGCCATCCGTACTCGATTGGGATCTTCTCGGGAACGGCGGTTCGCCTCCACAGAACGGCCCGACTACAAAGCCCCCTACACAATAGTATTATAATCCCCGACTACGTTGCCGGTACATTGCCGAAGGCAAAAAGGCTAGGATAAACAACAAAGGGTTTTTAGACAGGGTTCCCAGACATGGCCCGCTTTACATGCGTTGGACACCGCCTGTGTGGAGAAGCAATTCGGAGAAACTGTGCATGATTAGGCATGACTCTGGACAGCGATCTCAGCTGAATGATGTATTGTGAGTTTCTATTTGGGCGGTGCAGAAGGGTTGGTTAGGGACGTCTTGGTGAGGAAATTGCTAACGATGTTGTTGAGGAAGTCGATGAGCTTGATGATGGTTAATTCGACTTAGCTTCGGAGAACCGCACTGCATTGCCTACAGAGAAATTCACGCTTTCCAATTCGTTTTGAGTAACACTTACATAGATCGATTACTAGGGTTAGCATATTGACGAATTTGGAACTTATGGTAAATGCTTTCAACAGAACGTAGTGGATCAAAGCGTGTGTACGCAAATGCAAGCGCTGTATCTATTATGTAAAAATACTCAATACAGACATTGGCATAAGATCTGATTTATATAGATATTGATTTAATCCATCCTCGTGACAAGGTAGCTCGAGAAAATATCTACAAGCCAGGATGGCATCGGCGATTTACCAAGCCAGAGTAAATACTACTTACACAGAACGGGGGTGATCTGGTCCATTGCTGCATCATCGCGATTACACACGTTGGAATGGAAATTTCAGCAAAGCTTATTTCAACGTTTCTCAATTTCGCAGACGCAGCTGTCGAGGTCTTCTCGAATCGCACGAACAATTTGGCGGCCCCAAGGCAACTCTTTACCAGAAAGAGACGCACCAGGGTTGGAGAAACGAACTTCAAAGGCTCGAACTACATTTCCTGCCTTTTGGAGCTCCCTGAAGAGTACTGCTCGATGCAGTATTGTCGAGTCATCGTCGTCGAGATCGAGGGCGCCAAAACGTATCTTCATCGCCTTCAGGTCCACCCTCTCCGAATTGTACGTCCTGGTAACCACGACCTTGTACCAAAAAACTATCTTTGACAGTATTGTCAAATGAAGTAGTGCTATGTGCGAATTCTCGGCACAGTGACATTCGAGCAGCTGTGTCAACTCGTTCAGTGCGGCTTTGTTGGTGGCCAGCACCGTGTCCATGGAATGGACTGGGTGTATTGGAGCTTGTGAGGCGGAGTCGATTGTTGAATTTGGTGATAACCCAAGGGTACTGTCTTTCCATTCTGATGTGCAGAGTTTTGGGCGATACAACAGTGATCTCAGCACAGCAAGAGCTCGTGATTCGCATTCCACGGCATGCTCGGTGTTATTCTTTAGTCGCTCCACGCCGCAATGGCTGAACATGTCAGCACTTACTGTGACCTCTCCATCTGTCACATTGTGGTCCAACAATGATGTGCTGGTATGAAGAATCGAATGCGTATCACTTTGAGACATACAGTCTGAGCTTCCGAAATTGGACCATGGTAGGAAGTTCGATATATCCAGCTCAGAGTCTGAAGGGTACTGGTTGCTTGTGTTCTCGGAAAACGGACCCAAGTTGAGGGTGTCCCATGAGAGCAAGTCAACAGACTGTTGCGTGATGCAAGACTCTGAAGCAGCTTTCAAGGGTTGTGAAGGGATGGCTTCGGGTTCGCTTGCGATAGACGAAGGCGTTGGCTGCTGGATGGTCGTTCGAGAACGTCTTGGCCGCCTGCCATGTCTTCGAGAAGGACTGTACTGACAATACTCTTCGTTATCCAGACACCTTTGGCATACTGGGTGCCCTTTGTCGCATTTGACCTTGGCCGTCGTGCAGCTGTCACAAGCTTGGCGAAGTTGTAACTGATTAAAGCCCATAGTTGTAGTTTTTCAGACTGGAAGGCAATGTGAAATGATAAGGATGATAAGATTGAATCTTGTTTTAAGTTCCTGTTGTTGTGATGTAGAGATATATACCAATTATTCGAATATGTCTCTCACAAGAAAAACCCTTGACCCTCGGAAGAATGATGTAGAGTGCTCGACTGCAACTCCTTTGACAACCATATCTCTGAGAACCAAATCGTATTAGCACCAGAAATCTTGACTATAAGGCCTTTCTTTCAGACGGATTGAGATATGGCGTCAGGTATTCCGTACACACAGTCTATCAAGTCTAGTACTAAGAGCCAGGGTACTGGTGAAAATTATTGAACCATGTCTCGTTATAGTCGCGTACCAAACCTTCTTTGACAGCGTTTGCGTAATGCACGGCTCTCCTTGCAGCGGCAAGAAACCTCGGCTATTATTTTGCCTAGTTTGCTGTATTGATCGTGGTTCTTTGCCACTCCTTCCTTGGCTGGTAAAGCCTTGTTTCAGAAGCGTACTACTACTACGTACTTCTACTGAGTTGTCGCACGAACCACACGACTCGGAAGCATTCCGAGTTTAATTACGTGGGCAAGGCAAGATTTCGGCGTCAGGAGTACAGGTTTGAGTAGGGGTAAGCGATCCCGCGCTGCTCCCTACCATGCATTGCTATGCAACTCGGACGATTGCTCGCCGATTGCTTAGAATGTACATACATAGTACGTACCTGCCGGTAGCCCAGTGACCAGTATGCGTGAAGACAAACTAACATCGTGGGTCGCTGGCATCGTATAGCCGATTAAATAAATCAAGATATTACTATAGATATAACACGTCGCAGGCCTAGATGGTTGTAGCTGCTCTCCCTGCATGCGGCCAAATGACGTGGAACGTCGCCTTTCAGCCGCACATGTACCCCCACGTGCATTCCGGCACTGACAACTACTACTGCGTATCCATGAATGTAAGCAGCACTACCCTTAGTGCATTATGCACGTTGCCAGGTGAGTAGCAGCGTCAGTAGCAGAGTAAAGGCGCTAAAAACAGCACGCTAACAAAACATTTATGTACTCATGCAACAAGGGCGCCCAAAGGCCTGACAAGGCTTAACGATGCTTAACGATGCTTACAAAGACTTATTATAAGTTTCTTTTGCGAAAGATATGGGGTTGATGTAATATAAACATATTTTAACGACTGGTCAACCAGATGTTGACCTGTGAACTTAGGAGCGTTCTTACTGGTGGTGAGATATCTTAAGATCCAAACATACTAGGCGAGAAAGCGTGTCGGGACTCTAATACCTCTAAAAAGAACTGTATATAGTTTTCTATAGTATCATGAGTGAACCGGCGCTGGAAAGAGGGAGTGGAGAGCCCGACAGGTATTACTACCGAAGGTATCCACTGCCCACCAAAAAAAGCGGGTAAATCTGTCTACAAGCTTTGACTATGTACACGTTGGCACGATGTTGTTTCAGACTCATTCAACGACAGCCCCCACAATCACATTTCTTGGTCGTTGTTGTGTGGGATTTTAATCTATCTTAGTACTCTATAGAACATGGGAGGTGACTTCTACCAGCTCGATTGCTCGTCCTGATTAGATCCATTCATTAGCCAGTATGTACTCTTTTAGTGTTGTTCGAGGCACTTCCGGAAATTTCTCGGCATCGATAGGCTCAATATTATAACATCCTTCATCCAGAAATAGCGCATACACCAGCCCCACAATGTTCTTGAACCTCTTGTGCAGCTCTCCATTCCTAATCGCATCTTTCCTCGCCTGTTTGATCATCTGCTTACAGGTCGCGACATCCATAACATGATTAATGTGACACTTGCTTCCTCGCAACTGCTCATACGTTTCCTTCAAATCTAAGATTGAAAAAACATCTGAGCAAAATCGGAAGTAGCCGCCATTTTCAGCACCATCGCTCGTCGTGAGGGCAACAGTGAACTCCGCCACGTCTTCTTCCGTGCTAAAGGGTGTTGGCGTCTTGCCTACTCCGATCAAGTTGATCACTCTCTCTCCGCCTTCCTTCCGTAACCACAAGCTTGCGTCGCCTTCAAGTGACCCTGCGCCGGGAACTCCAAAGAGTATCTTGGCCAAAACACCACAAAATGTATACAATGGTTTGATGGGGCTCGTGAGGATAGCCTGCCGAGCGAAACATATCATTGCGTCGTAGCTCTCGATCACTCCAAGGGGCATATGCTCCCAATCGGTGTTCCAACTCACTGCATGAAATCGCTTGATTCCTGCACGCTCTGCAGCTCGCAAAAGCACGAGCTGAGTGTCTAACACAAGTCGAGGCTCTTCGTTCCAAGCGACAATAATAGCATCTACACCAGCACACGCTCTGTCAAAAGCAACACCATTGCTGAAGTTGGTCATCTCGACGAAGCTTTCCAACTGATTGCGGAGATCTTGGGGCATTTTTTTGGCGTTACGTCCCAAGGCCCGGACGCGGTGTCCACGCTGAATTGCTGAACGGACAATGTATAGGCCTAACCTGCCCGTCGCACCCGGAATAAGAATGAGCATGCTGCTAAAGTTCTCAGATTTTATCTTCTCTTGTACTCTAGAGGTTCGTGTCGTGATATGTGAAGAAGGAATTGAGAAGCTTGTCAAATAAAAATTGTATTTAGAAAAGTTCGAGTAAGAGATATAGTAGCTTTTGTGTTAGATATTTATGCACCATCTCGGCCTTTGGACTAATTCAACAATCATCTCATATCTAGAATGAATGGAATGGTCTTCCATATCCAGCTGGCTCGCAAAAGTACTATGCACGTTGGTCTCCGAGGCCATATACCCCGCGATTCCCGAACAAGCCCGCTTGAAAAATATCATGTCCGAAAAAATGATGAGCTTCAATATTTCTAACGTCATTTTCAGTGCAATCTCAGCCGATTGGAACATGGAACCGGTGTTGCGTCGGGAATTACCCTTTGTCAGTCAATTATCCCGACAAAATCACGGCTACATTGTGGAGAGCCAAAATGGCAAACAAAGCAGAATACTTCAAAGCTTGGAACATGCAAATGGGATAAGGTATTATCAGTGCATTCCGGCATCGCTAATCTAACTGAGCTAAAATACACTACAACGTTAACACTCTCAGAATGGCTCCAGCTAAATCGAGACCAACTGTCCTCATTGTGGGTGGGGGCTTAGCTGGACTTTTCTGTGCTCTCGAGTGTAAAAGAAATGGTTTCGAAATAACAGTATTGGAATCCAGACCTGCAATCCAAACAGCTGGTCAGAAATCCCTAGCATGAAACCTACGCACTTGCTGCAATATACTAATTGACCTCTTCGATTCATAGGTGACTTCATTACTATTGGGCCTACAGCTATCAATGCTCTTTGTAGATGGCCGTCTATAGCAACAGCGCTTGGTAAGGTCGCCTACAAGCCTGACATCTGGTACCATAAGCAAGATGGAGAGCTAGTTGCTGGTCCAATGCCTCCGCACCCCAACTTTGGCCGCATGATATCGAGGCCGGCATTACACCAAGCTCTTTGGCATGCACTAGAGGCCGAGAATGTTGATATTCGCTGCAAGACGAAAGTGAAGCGTTACTGGGAAACGGAAGATGAAGGCGGGGTCGAGCTCGAAAATGGGGACATCCTCCGGGCAGATATGGTGACCGCCGCAGACGGTATCCATACCAAAAGCTGGACACTCGTATCGAGAAAGGAACCCGAAATCTACCCGAGCGGGCTTGCAATGTTCCGAGCAGCATTTCCTATTGAACGAGCACTAGCGGATCCCACTCTACGGGCAAAGTGGACTCCGACAGCTGAGAGAGACAAGATGGGATTCTTTCTTTCTCCAACTAGCTTTGGAATCATCCTCTTTGGCCAAGACACTGCATCGTGGGTTTGGCAGCACAATGAAAACCCAGAAACATCCACTGAATCATGGGCTGCAACTCTATCTCCCGAAGATGCCCTTAAGCAGCTGGATGCCCAAGGCCACTGGGGCGCCGACCTTCGAGCACTAATTGCTACAACTCCACAAAACCACATTGTCGACTGGAGGCTGATGCGACGAGAGCTGAAGCGAGAATGGAGCTCGCCAAAGGGGCGGCTAATGCAGATTGGGGATGCTGCACATCCATATCTGCCAACCACTGTCAATGGTGGGACACAAGCCATCGAGGATGGCGTCTCACTGGCACGCTGCTTGCGCCTGGCAATCGACAAGCACGGCGCTAACGCGCTTCCTGCTGGAGCAAAAGTGCATAACTTGTTGCGCATCGATCGGGTGGCAGCCATCGAAACCACAGGAATGGAACGCACGAAGAAACACCGTCAAGTGGACTTTGAACAAGTTAAGAAAAACCCGGAGTTGATTCGCAACGAGCCGGCTCAGTGGCAGATTAAACATGACCCGCTAGCGTATGCGGAGGAAAAGTTTGATGAATGCTTTGCTTCTTTGACGAATGGCAAGCCCTTTATAAACACCAATAAGCCTGAAGGATACGTTTTTGCGCCATAAAACTGAGTAGGGGCGCATGGAGAAAGTGTTTTTAGAAACTACAGGATTACAAAGTTCGTGAATGTCTTGAGCGGGTTACACTGGTATATGCGCAATGATGTTTGACATGTGCAAGAGTGACCTCCGATGTGTTTTTACTTTGAACGTTTGGGAATTTTGTCATTTGAACTGCTGTGAGCGAAGAATGTGATCCCAAATGATGCAGATTTTGTCACCAAAAATGTTCCCAGCTATGCCAGCAAGTGAACTCTATATCCACTAAAACGCACATATTTCGCACATTAGCGTCGTGTCCATATGAATAAACAAAATTTTATCTCGAGGAATGGTGGTTAAAATGTGATGAAAGTCATATTGGTTCAAGCTAGCTAAGCACCGAACAAGGCCTTGTTTTGTTTGGCCCATTCCTCGAAACTTGTGGGTTTCTGACCAGTGTAGAGAGTGATATTGCTCACGCCTTCCTCATAGTTGGGGAAGACATCACCATTGCCCTTGTCTATGCCGTTGGTCCCCATGACCTCCACCATATAGTCCGCGAATATCTTGGGCATACCATTGTTCATATACTTTTCATGCCCTTCCTTGGGTCCCAGAACTGTGATCTTCAAGTCTTTCTGAAGAATCTCACCAATTTTGGCAATACTGTCGTAATGGGAATAGACTTTGGGGCCGTAAATGTACACCTTTTTCTGCCCATTCTTCGGACCTGAGACAACAATATTGCCAATGACTCTACCAACATCGCTGGGTACAATGTTATCTTCCTTGAACTCGGCGCCGTATAGCTTTACTTCATTTGCAGCTATTCCTGCCTTCTCCGATAGCAGGTTAGTAACGAAGCATCCGGGGCGTACGGCGACATAGTCGGAACCAAAAACCTCGTCCAAGTTTGCTTCGACTTGCGCGTGCACGTATGGAAGCAAATCTGAGGAAGGAATCTCACGGAGACCTTTATTGACGAGGATGGTGAAGCTGCTAAGAAAGACTACAAACTCGATGCCGGCTGCTTTCATTGCCGTAATAGTACCGTGAAGGTGATCAGATGCGTGATGAACGAGGTAGATGAATGCATGCTTGGCCCCAGAAGTCTTGACTGCTTGGCTGACAGTTTCGGGTTTTTCCAGATCGGCCTGGATCCTGTGGTAATCACCCGCAAATTCGGCCTCTTTCGTGAGGCCTGGGATGTTTTTGGAGGTGTCTTGCATTGCTAGCCAGACCTTCGCCCCAAGCTGTCCAGCTGTTTGCGCGACGACAGATCCAACCTGGCCCGTTGGGCCGAATACGATCACAGAAGTCATGGCGCTAGTAAAAAATGAGGTTTTGGCAATAAAGATGGTATTAGCTGTGTGTTTGCGTTGAATTGTGCTGTTGTTCTTTATGCCTTTGCGAAGCTGGGACGAATGCCCAGCCCCTCACCTAAGGCACAGAAAGCTTGATTTGGCGGCTGAGCGCCACTCCCGGGAACGCTTCGGGGATCTCGGGAATGCAGACGGGAAATGGCCGGGATTAGGAGCCATTTCCCAAAGAAATCGCGAAGAAGAGAACCTCCAAAAAAGAGTGAATTATTTCCATATCAATCTCCTTGTTCGTTCCTCTAACTTCATTTGTCTTCTGGGTCCTTGTGTCAACAACTCCCGAATCCAGTTTGCAATACCAAATGGGCTTTCCGCACGACTCAGCCTTGCCGCAAGGGTCATTGGTCCTTGTCACCGGCATCACCGGTTTCCTTGCAGGGGTCGTAACGGATCAACTGCTTCACCATGGGTTCCGTATGTATACAGCTGTTTGTTTTTGTAATATTGGAACAAGGACGACAGGGGTCGGGGCTGACGATCGCAAATTCAGGTGTCCGTGGTACTGTACGAGATCTCGACAGTGACAAGGCTTCTTGGGTAATCTAATCCTTGATTGACCCATCGTTGCTTAGACTGACGTGAACATATCGAGTAGATGCCTAGCCATTTCGAAAAGCAATATGGCACAGGGAAATTTGAAATGGTCGAAGTGAGAGACATGGAAAGCGAAGGCTGCTTTGAAACCGCCATCAAAGGTGTGTTCCAAGCTGCCATGCGAAGTCGTGCAGCTGTAAGTACAATCAAATATTTAGAGCACTGACTCAGTAACAGGCTGCAGCGGAGTGATTCATGTCGCTAGTGTCACTGGGTTCGAAGCTGATCCTAACAAAATCATTACACCGAGCATCGCCTTCGTCGAGAACATCCTCGCCGCAGCCGAAAATGAGCCCTTTGTCTCACGATTCGTATTGACATCCTCATCTGCTGCGGCCAGTCAGGATAGAATCAACGAGATCTACAATTTGACCCCAGACATGTGGGCCAACTGGGCTGTTCAAGAAGCCTGGGCGCCACCACCATTCACAGTAGAGAGGGCACACGCGAACTACTATGCATCAAAGGTGCTTAGTGAGCAGAGGCTATGGAACTATGTCCAAGAGCGCAATCCCCGATTTGTAGCCAATTCTGTTTTGCAGGACTTTGTCATCGGGCTTGGAATAGATCCCAAAAAGCAAGGCTTCGTATCTTCCATGGGTCTTTTCAAGCAGATGTTTGATAATTCCGGTAATGCATGGAAAAGCTTCGGTCCCCAGTGGTGTGTCGATGCAATTGATGTTGCCCTTTTGCATATTGCCAGCCTTGTGTGCCCTTACGCAAAGAATGAACGCATTTTCGCATATGCGCATCGCAAAACCTGGGCGGGCTTCATTGCACAGTTACAAAATATGTATCCCAATCATCATTTTCCAAGTGGGTGCTTGAATGTTCTTTAATTCTAAGCATTCTTAAGCACATCTCAGCTAACTGGAATTCCAGAGCCAGATCCGAACGAGGGACAAGATCTTTCTAATGTCACTGGACGAGACTTCGCTAGAAACCTGCTGAAATGGATGAGTAATTCTGATTGGAGACCTTTGGATGAATCACTCAAAGAGGTCTCCGACTTCATTTTACTGAATGAAACAGTCATGTGATCTCAGTATATTTACTATCATCTTTGAGATCGCATTTAGTTAGATATGATAAATGAGACTCATGTGGAGAATATGATCAACTGAGAAAGAAACCGGATGTTGAAATGCTGAATGCTCACGTGATATTGCATACGTGAGCTCGTCGCATAGCCTCCTGTAATGCCCACAATGTAAGCTTTAGTTCCAGGATTTCAGCTGTATCCGAGGCTCACCCCCTCTTCACAAGCGATTTCGGTTTTTCAGGCATGAGTTTAGGCTGCGATACGCAATCGAGTCCGAGATCTAGTGCCTCTGCAATATGACGATGTCCTTCACACCACATATCATTTATATGCATGGTATATATTATACATAAGATATCGCCAAGAGTGACAAGAGAAACGGTAACATAGTGGAAGGTTTGTTGATTAGAAATTTTCATTTATAAAAGGATTTAGTGAATGCCGTTAGTGTAGTTTCCGTTCGTCTCATCATGCCCGAGAACAGCCTCAATCACGGAAAGTTCGCTGCCAGCCGGGCGTCGGATGGCCCGAACAATCAGTCTGGGATCCGCCTTTCTCAACAGATCCCTCCACTCCTCTTCCTCCCGTTCTTTGGCATTGAAAGTACCGATCATCATCAGGTCCTTTTGGCGTAACGCACCTTCGTGTGTACTTGATCCAGAACCAGACTTAGGAAGTACCATATCCATGATCAACAGGCGGCTTGATGGTGCCATGGCATCCACGAGACGTTTTAATATTTTGGTTGCGTCGGCATCTGGCCAATCATGCAGAATAGTGCGCAGAAGGTAAACGTCTGCGCCCGGATGAGGCTGCGGCTGAAAGAAGTCATGCTCGCAAGCCTTGACACGCGATCGAACATCATCCGGCAAGTTGCTGATAAGACTCTGTGCGTTTGAGATAGGACCAGGGAGATCTTCCACAACGACGTTTAGGTGTGAGTAAGCTTTCGCTAGCATGATAGCGGTAGACCCACTACTTCCACCGACCTAAATAACGCCGTTAGCTAATGATTAACGCTATCTGCAGAATCATCAATCTTACATCCACAACCTTTGCATTTCCTAATGCTTTCCAATCAAAGGCTTCTAACAAGTACGCTGCATTGGATCCGGTATGAGAGACTGCTCGACTCTTCATGTAGTCCTCGAAGTTCTTCTGGAGGTGAGGATGTGCCTTCAAATGTGCAAAAAATGGGAGATCTGTGTTGTTTGCGATATTGTATGCTGTCTCATTAGGCGCCCGGGTATCTCCCCACTTTTCTGTCGCCTTTACTAGCCCAGCCATGACGGGGATAGTAGCATTGAACATGTGTCTCAACTGAACCCGCATGTGTTCGTCCTCGACGAAGGATACAGAGAGAGTAGTGTGGGAAAGGTTACCGTTTGGACTTTCGCAAAGGAAACCAGCTGTCATTGCCATACGAGCGACGGAACGCAAGACTGACTCTGGGACTTTGAGGCTCTCTGCCACTGTGTGATACGATACTTCATTTGGAGGTAGAGGTACCTGGCCCAATATTTCGAAGTGAGTGAGCCATTGAATACTATAGTATTGTTGCTGCTGGATATGGAGTTCTGTCAGAAAGCTGCTCGGGTCATGGACGAGCTTCTTGATTTGTGCCGCATGTTCGATAATCTCGTCTCTGGCTTCCTTCTTCATCATTAGAACAGATGTGCAGGTAGCGATAAGATAATTGTTGGAGATCTTGTCAATTTGCTGTATCTTGATATAAAAGGGCCTTGAACTGCCTCAGGAGGGAAACATCAAGACAGCTTGTACAATAAACCGAGCTTCGGGTAAATCCTCGATACTTCGGGCACGTTGTAATGCCCGCCGTGCGTGTCCCCGACGAAACGGAGTAAGTGCTTATCGTTCATCAGAAGATCCGTATCACCCAATCAGAATTGACCTCTAGTAATGATATGGGTAGGAATCGATGGGACACCCGCTATTGCTACCCTTCGGAGCTCATTTCTATCCCCGCGTACCGTGCCCGATGTGTTCCCAGATTGCAGTGTCCAATCAACAGGGGGTGGAAACGGCGGGTTTTGGTCGCCCATACTATCGGGTATGTCCAATGAGCCGATAGAACCCCCCGCCACCCTACTCATTCCATTCAAGGATAGCTCTAGATTTGGTGCGACTCTAGAACTATGTGACGATGCATGGTACTGTACTTATAGTATTTATCAAGATAAATAGCCTTCTTAGCTAAACCAAAGTCGACTAAACGCCATCCCCTTCCATAGGCTTACAAAACACGCCACATTCAACTATGGCAGACAACCTGAATATATATCTCTTTGGAGATCAGACGTTTGACGTAGAGCCTCATTTCTCTGGTCTACTAGAGGCTAGGGACAATCTGTTCTTGCACACACTCCTTCGTGGCGCATACAATGCCATTCGGGCCGAGATATATACATTACCACCAGAGGTCCGAAATGAATTGCCGCGATTTACCTGTCTCGAGGATTTGGCATCGTGGAAACACAGCGGGACTGGCAAGCGATGTCTCGCCCTAGACATGGCAATCACTACGCTATGGCAATTAGGGACCTTCATTCTGTGAGTTGCATTATGTTCATAGATTTGAAGTATATATCTCGCTCATGTGTTTAGACAAGCAGAAGCATGCTATAGAACCCCAAACTGCTCGGTGGTCGTTGGATTATGCACTGGAACTTTTGCTGCTGCGGCAGTAAGCTGTAGTAAGAACACAACGGAATTGATTCCGTTGGCCATTGAAGCAGTCATCGCATCTTTTAAGACCGGTGTGCTTGTACAGGACATTGCTCAAAGACTTGCTCCTTCACAGGATCTCGACCAGAGCTGGGCCATTCTCATAGAGGGTGCAGCATCGGCTTCGCTCATAAGAAACTTCAATGATGAAATTGTAGGGTCTAAATCCACCGCTTACTCTCTGGTCGTCAACTGACAAGTTTTAAGTCTATTCCATCGATCAACAAGCCGTACATCAGCGCCTACGCTCCAAATGCTGTGACCGTGAGCGGGCCACCCGATTCTATTTCCAGACTGGTCAGTTTTGGAGCCTTCAAAGACTTGACGAAGAAGACCATACCCATATCAGGACCGTATCACGCTACCCACCTCTACTCAAATAATGACCTTAACTCGATTGTCTCAGGTTTATCGGAAAGAGCAGACAGCGGGAGGCATGAATCGATACCATTCTTGTCCACACACAAGATTGGGTCAGAAGTCAGGACGTTTGCATCGCTTCTGAGGGAAGCGACTGCTGAGGTGCTCCTGCGCCCGCTTGTATGGGCTGATATTCTTGAACGATTCGAAAACGTCTTACGCAATAAAGCCCCGCAACGACTTAGTGTTGTTCCTTTTGGATCGACTGCGCATCACCTTTTCTTCAACGTAGCAAAGAAGATTAACTCGAATATTTTGATAAACTCTTCGCAGCATGCCAATGGGCAATCTGGATTCGCCCCGACGATTAGCACCGGCCTCAAGAAACCTAAGTTAGCCATTGTAGGGATGTCAGGACGCTTCCCAGACGCGAAGAACACCGATGAATTCTGGGATATACTTCGACAAGGTTTAGATGTGCACAAGGTTGTGCCACCCCAGCACTGGGATGTACGCACCCACGTCGATACTAGTGTAAACCCTCGCAAGAACACAAGTGCCACGCCTTTCGGTTGCTGGCTGAAGGACCCGGAAGAGTTTGACGCGCGGTTCTTCAACATATCACCGAAGGAGGCTGCCCAGATCGACCCGGCGCAGCGACTCGCTCTGATGACCGCTTACGAAGCTATCGAGCGCGCTGGTATAGTCCCAGATGCAACTCCATCTACTAGACCGGACCGAGTCGGCGTTTTCTATGGCGTTACCAGCAATGACTGGATGGAAACGAATAGTGCTCAGGACATTGATGCGCACATGATCCCTGGTGGCAATCGTGCATTCATCCCAGGCAGAATTAATTATTTCTTCAAGTTTAGCGGGCCTAGTTATGCCATCGACACAGCTTGCTCATCTAGTCTGGCAGGTATCCACCTTGCATGCAACTCCCTATGGTGTGGCGACATCGACACTGCTATAGCTGGAGGTACCAATGTAATCACCAATCCAGACTTCACTGCTGGGCTCGACCGTGGCCATTTCCTCTCTCGTACAGGCAATTGCAAAACTTTCGACGATGTTGCTGATGGTTACTGTCGTGGTGAGGGCATTGCAACGGTTATCATCAAGAGACTCGAGAATGCACTTGCAGATCACAATCCCATCCTTGGTGTGATCATTGGAGCGTACACCAATCATTCGGCAGAATCTGAATCTATCACCAGGCCGCATGTTGGTGCTCAACGCGCCATCTTCAACAAGATTCTGAATGAATCCAATATCGATCCTTACTCCATTAGCTACATTGAGATGCATGGCACTGGCACGCAAGCAGGTGATGCGGCAGAAATGTCAAGCGTTCTGGACACGTTTGCTCCATCGCCCAGCCAATGCCAGCAATCTAGAGCACGCAAAGAAAGGCTCTTTCTTGGTTCAGCTAAGGCAAACATTGGCCATGGCGAAGCTGCCTCTGGCGCGTCGGGCCTTATCAAGGTCTTGATGATGATGGAAAAGAACCAGGTCGTTCCGCACTGTGGAATCAAGACCAAGATTAACCACAAGTTTCCGACCGATCTTGGGGATCGTCGCGTTCACATCGCTTCTGAGATCACAGCGTGGGAGAAGAAAGGACCTGCGGCGCGACGTGTACTGGTCAACAACTTCTCAGCTGCTGGAGGCAACTCGGCGCTTCTGCTTGAAGATGCACCACACGTACCAGAGAACGTCAACGTGGCCATGGATACTCGAAAAATCTATGCTGTCGCGGTATCTGCCAAAACAGGTGCTTCTATGCAGGGTAATCTGAGGTCATTGCTCGCACATCTGAAGAAGATGCCAAACGTTTCACTTGGCGAGCTTTCATACACATCTACAGCACGACGCATACACCATCCACACCGGGTATTGCTTATCGGTTCATCTGTTGAGGAGATCTATCAACAAAATGAGTCGGCAATTGCTCAAGAAATTGGCCTAACAAGACCCAAGGGATCACCTAGAGTCGTGTTCAGCTTCACTGGCCAGGGTGCTTAATATCCCGGAATGGCTCAGCAATTGTTACAGGAAAGCACTATCTTCCGAAACGAGTTGCGTCGTCTTGACTACATATCGGAAAAACTGGGATTTCCGTCTGTGATCCCTTTTATCGAGTCTACGGAACAAGATCCTACAACGTTTCAGCCCTCGGTTGTACAGCTCGCCAGTGTGTGTGTTCAATTAGCCGTTGTCAAATTATGGGGCACTTGGGGCATTCGTCCATCTTTAGTTGTAGGACACAGTCTCGGCGAATACGCGGCTCTCAATACTGCAGGAGTACTCTCAGACGTCGATACTATCTTCCTTGTTGAAATGAGGGCTAGGCTGCTCGAGGAAAATTGTGTCTCTGGTACGCACGCCATGCTGGTTGTCGACAGCCCAGTTGAAAAGATCTCCACTGCTTTGCAAGAAAGAAAATACGAAATAGCATGCATCAATTCGCCAACAGAAACGGTCCTTGCCGGACCTAACGAGGGGATGCTCGAGCTGCAGGAATTACTCAAGAACGCTGGAATGAGAAGCACACTTCTCAAGGTGCCTTATGCATTCCACTCTTCACAAGTGGATGCGATTATACCACAATTCAAAGCTCGGGCACAGGAAGTGAAGTTTCTCGAACCCAAAATACCAATTATCCGGCCTGTTGACTCTACCGTCTCAACTGCTGGTACAGTTTTCGATGCTGAGTATCTAGCATGTCATTCTCGCGAGCCTGTCAACATGCTCGGGGCTTTGGTTGCAGCTCACAGTAATGGCGCAATCACCGACCGATCTGTTTTTCTGGAGATTGGTCCGCATCCTGCTGTTTCAAAGATGGTCAAATGTACATTGGGACCGTCTGCTTCTGCTGTCGCCTCGCTTCAACGTGGGGCTCGGCCATGGGACGTGCTTACCAGATCACTGAAGTCTCTCTATGACAACGGAGCCAGTATTAATTGGGCGGCTTATCAGCAAGACTTTCAGAGGTTTCACAGAGTTGTCTCATTGCCATCCTATTCTTGGGATCTGAAGCCGTACTGGATCCAATACGTCAACGACTGGTCTCTTCGCAAAGGTGACCTGCCAGCTCAAGGTTTACACACCGGCCCTAAGATAATGAGTACGACGATTCATTCAGTCGTATCAGAGAGCGGAGACTCTAGGAGTACCAAAATCGTGGTCGAGGCAGATACCTCACGCAAAGATCTTGCCCCACTGGTACAGGGACATGAGGTAGACGGCATACCTCTATGCACACCCTCAGTCTATGCCGACATGGCTTTGACTCTCGGTACATACCTGCTCAAGCGCTATTTGCCAGAGCAATCTCAACTGCTAGTCGACGTATCCGAAATGACCATCTCGAAAGCGTTGATATTGAATGAGCAAGCAAAAAACAACTTATTCAGGTTCACGCTGAAGCAGACTGGATTTCTAAATCCGTGACTATGAAGTTCATGACCTTCAACAATCACCAAAAACTCCAAGAACACTCTCGGTGCATCGTACATTACAGAGATCGTTCTCTTCAGAAGAAACTGCAAGCCAATTCATCGGAAATTCAGACGAAAATATCGGCACTCCGCACGGGTATCGCTTCTGGCAAGACAGCCCGGTACAATCGTGCAATGGTGTATCGCGCCATCCGACCTTTAGCACGATTCCACAATGATTACCGTGCTATTGATGAAATAGTTCTCAACAGTGATACGCTGGAAGCCTCCAGTATACTGAGCTTCGGTAGCGTAAAGCGCGACGGCGATTTCCATACTCATCCAGCTATTATCGATTCGTTGACACAAGCGTGCGGTTTCACAATGAACTGTAACGATAACACCGACCTAGACGTTGAAATTTTCATGAATCACGGATGGGGTTCGTTGCAGCTCTTTGAGCCCATAGATTTTGAAAAGGTGTATACAACGTATAGTCGTATGGAGTCAGGTCCGGACAAACTCTGGCGTGGCGACGCAATCATCTTCGATGGCAACCGAATCGTGGCGCATTTCGGACAAATTGCAATTCAGGGTGTGCCCCGCAGAGTGCTCAAAGTCATATTGTCGCTCGAGAGCGGCAGGAAAACGCAGACTCGTACCACGGCAGCACAGCCATCGATCACCGATCGAAGCCAGCCGGAAATTCGCTCAGCCCATCCAGACACCAAACAAAAACAATCCCCAGTCAGGGCTGGACCATCTCCTGTTGGTGTTGGGCTTCAGATCATCTCAGAGGAGTCTGAGGTTGCTATCGACGCCTTCACGGACGATACCGTTTTCTCAGATATGGGGGTAGATTCTCTCCTTGGTCTTACCATATCGTCGCGCTTCCGGGAACAACTCGACATCGATCTCGACTTTAACGGCCTCTTCTTTGAGTACCCAACAGTGAAGGATCTCAAGGCGTTTCTGAACACATCTCTACCTGATTCAGGTTACGGTAGCCCGGTCGTAGGCGGCAATGATGGGCTAGAGTCAGTCCACGAGGTTACGAACGCCTTGAAGATCGATTCTTCGGATAACAGATCGTCCTCGAGTCATAATTTTGCGCGAGCACTAGAGATCATTGCAGAAGAGAGTGGTGTCCAAGTAAGTGAGCTTGGTGACGACACCGAACTTGCTGATTGTGGAGTCGATTCGCTCTTATCACTCATCATCACAAGTCGCTTTCGCAACGAGCTTGATCTCGAGATGGAGAGTGAATCATTGTTCTTAGAGAATCCAACAGTGGGTGACCTGAAAAAAGCGTTGTTAGCAAAGTCGCCAAACAGCATAACAGCGGAACCTGCTACTCATGAAGTAGCAGATAAGATGGTGTTACAGCCTGGTGCTAACAAAGGGGATGATGGGAACGCAACCAACGCAAATAAACCCGAAACTGGTCGCATGCCCAAAACAACAAGCGCTGAATCGCATGCTGTACTCGAAACGAGAAAGCGAGCCGTGGAAGATTTGGTCGAGGAATTTGCATCTGGACTCGCTGTACCAACATCAGACGAAAACGCGCCGGAGACAGTCGACAGAGAGAAAGTCGTACTGGTGACCGGCGGGACTGGAAGCCTTGGAGGCCATCTCGTGTACCACCTTGCTCAGCAGCCTGACGTTCGAACTGTCGTCTGTTTGAATCGTAAGCATCGCGAATATCCCATGCAACGCCAAATTCAGGCGATGCGTGACAAAGGTATCCGTTTCCCCGATGATCTGAAGCATAAGTTGCTGGTTCTCCAGGCCGATTCTGCCTCTCCACAGCTAGGCCTGGAACAAAGGCAGTATGATGAGCTCACCGCCTCTGTTACTCACCTTATCCATCAGGTTTGGCCAATGAGTGCGACACGTGCGTTGTCAGGGTTCAAGGCGCAGTTCCAGGTCATGCGCAATTTGATTGACTTTGCCTGTGATGCCGCATCGCGCCACCGTAAAGACTTCAAATTCAGCTTCGAGATGGTGTCCTCTATTGGTGTAGTTGGCTTTTATGACAAGGAAAAGAACGCAGCCAAGACTGTAGTGCCAGAGGCACGAGCGAACATTGATTCAGTCCTAACGAATGGCTATAGTGAAGCAAAGTGGGGATGTGAACTTATGCTCGATCGCACGCTTCATCTGTACCCTGACCGCTTCCGCGCTATGACAGCCCGCCTGGGCCAAATTGCGGGATCAAAAACAAGCGGATACTGGAACCCAATGGAGCATTTCGGCTTCTGGGTCAAGTCATCATGCACCCTGAACGCACTGCCAGATGTCGATGGCAAATTGTATTGGACACCTGTCAATGACGTCGCAAGCGCACTTGCAGATTTGGTACTTGCGAACAACAACCCACATCCTATTTACCACGTCGACAATCCCCAGGGTCAGTCATGGAAAGAAATGAATGGCTATCTGCAAGCTGCGCTGAAGATACCAAATCTAATACCATTTCACCAATGGCTAGAACGCGTACGCCAGACACCGCAAAAAGACAATCCTGCGCTCTTGTTGTCTGACTTTTTGGAGTCAAATTACCTGCGCATGTCATGTGGAGGATTGGTCTTGGACGTCTCAAACACGCTCGATCATTCACCATCCCTCAGGGAAGTAGGTCCAGTGTCTAACCAGGTTTTGAGAAAGTATGTACATATTTGGAAAGAAATTGGATTTCTCCATGCTACGGAAGACGATCGGAAGAGTTTCGAGAAGGAGCGACTGGCACTTTGGGCTTAACATATGAAATAGTCGTATTGTAGGATTGAAAGAGATTCCTATTTTTAACTAAACTTGTGCCATACTAGTAGCAACTATATCGCCAAAATTGAGAAAGAATCTCTACATTTCGATATCTCTATTTTTTTAGTTGATAATGCAAATTTGTTTTCTTATTCGTAGGTTTTTCAAGAACGTGTCAGTATAAAGATATTCTAGTCGATAGTAGAGACGTGCTAATGGTTTTCTCTATGTAGGTTTCGTATTCTCTGAGGGTTTGGTATGTTCTTGAGAACATAGCATTCTGCAATGCTCACTGGAAAAAAGCACCCCTACGCGACTGGGCACTCTTATGGCGCGTGAAACTACTATAAAATAATAAACATTAGAAATAAGGTTAGGGTAGGTGTATAGTGAAATGTAGACCAAGTCTCTTTACTTTGTACGAATCAGGGTGCTCCGGACCCCCGGAAGAGACTTAACACCCGAGCACCCGAATGGATTAGGATATCTCAGATTCGGGGCACCCACAAGCTGCGATTTGTTATTATAGTATCTTTCGCTTCCGGAATTTTTTTGAAAGCAAGCTAATTTTCTTAATCCGGACGGATATACTGGCGCGGTAGGATTCGGAGCAAGACTCACTTGTAAACGACCATCTACCTACATACTATCAATTATTCGCGAAATCTAAGAATCGGTTTTGAGGAAGCATCAAAGCAGTGGAAACGGTGATTTCTAATCCATAATCATATCCCATTAGGGGACAATATGGGCAGCGACATCAAAGATACAGTTTGGCCGGACCGCCCCGTCCCAGACAGCGTCAAGAAACGGACTGATCGGTTCTTTAGTTCGCTGGACACCCAGGATTCCAACGTGGGGGATATCCTTGCTGACGAGATCTTCGCATCCGACGGCCGTGCGCAATTCGGCGGTGATGTATTCATGGGGGTTGAAGGCACGCACGAGTCTACCAATTTAGAGCCCTGCCACGTGACTGGCGTATTGATGTACATCGATGGCGGTGCATACCACGAAACAATAATCACCATAGCCTCTACTATCTTCTTAGCCAACTCTAACTCTCGCAATAAAGAAATATACAAAGGCAGAGACAACGCCTGGGCCACGTTCAATGGACGAAGACACGTCGTCTTGAGAGTGTACTCATCCAACGATGTCGCCAACGACGTGCCCTTCATTGCTTTGGTCGCAATGGATTTCAAAAACGGTGAATAATTTGAAGGCAATTTCGTAGGGCGTCTTGAATTCCAAGACACGCAAAGTGCTAACCCAAAAATGAAATCGTATTAGACTTGGACGACACGTCAGAAAAGTACCCCACATCTTCGCGTCACGACGGAAGGACTAGATTGGAAAGATGTCTCAATTTGAACAATTAGGATTCTGCTCCATTAATTAGATCCCTCCGCGAGAAATAAAGCGATTGAGGGGTCTCACGAAGCTAGCGCCATAGCGCCCTATTATATTGAGTTACCTAGCAGACAGGGAGTAGGGTTTTAGTCCGCGTTTCCAGCGAAACTACGTGCTTCTACTCATAAAAGTCTAGTCTACCTTAGAACTCGTAGTATGTATAAAAAGATACTAAGCGATAGTTAGTAATACCAATGGATTAGTCTACATGTGTCACAACACTCTAAGCTAAGGCAAGAAGGCTAACACTCAGTGCTCCATTGAGTACCCCTCCGGCCACGGAATCTACAGTCACGTGCATAGAGTACACATGGTCCCATCTGAACCTTAGTTCACTCCTCAAAGATCCGTCTCAATTCATTCCGACTGATAATATTTCGTGCATATCTGCAAAATACCTCACACTGGGTTGAGTACTAATACAGATTACCAGCCAAGGCACTACGCCTCATCAGCAGATCACGTGGCAAGTCCATGATATGGATATGCCAAGCATCAGACATGAGAGAAAAGAAACCCCATTCCGTACCCTACCTTACCCTACTTTATCGCGAATCCAGCCTGGTGCAGTGTGTCAGCATCTACGCACCCATCGAACCAAGCAGCTAAACATTTAAGTATATGCGTCGCGTAAGTAGTGGATATCGCTCTTCCGCACCGTCATTGGGTGCATGCAAAGCAATGGAACTGGGCCTGTTTCAAGCCGTTCGTTCCGGCGTCTTGGTAGTAAGCCCTTCGCCCCCAAAAGTTCCAGGGGTAAACCCCACACCCACCACATCCACTCAAAGCTCACATGGGTTTCCCGCGATCGCACCTTTTGTGCATTTTGGGGGCCAGAAACGTCATTTGACGGGGCTGCCGAGAGAAAGAGGCTGTGCTTACGACCGCTCCGACCGATCACCCCTCCCTGCTGCTCCCCGAAGGGGAAGGTGTCGTCTTTTTGGTTTCTTACTTCCATCTCTTTCTTTCCACACGTCCCTTGATTTTTGGTCAGGCCTGTCGCTCGCTCGCTCGGTCCCGTACTTTTTGTTAATTCTTTGACTGTGAGGATTTTTTATTTTTCTTGGGAGACGGAGATCTTTTTGCTGCAGCTCAAAGGGGCCCGATAACGCTGGTGGGGATACAGGTATAACTCGCGAACCCTGGTTCTCTTGTTCAGCTCTCAGCTTGCAGCTCGCAGCCTTACACACACAGTCTCGAGTAAATTTCAGCCTGATGGATTAGAAATTGCTTGTATAAAAGTTGCGATTATTTTTATTTAACCTCTTCTACTTGTGCGCCTTGTCAAGGTCGCTCCTTTTATTTGTTTCTCTCGGGGTTTTCGTTTTGGGCTCTGTTGAATTCACGCGTAGCACGGTTGACAAGACGCGTCGAGCTTGAGTGAATAATACGCTGGTTCGACAAAACGGATTGATTACGGGATTTTGCGCTTCAAGGAAAGACACGACAGTCCGGAATCGAACAAAAAAACAATAAACGAAACGGTGGTTAGAGAGACGTTCTGTTTGGGATACCGATACGACCAACAAACATACGCATAAGAAATCATGCACACAACACTACCAACATGGCTTGCTCTTTCAGCAGCAATAATACCCAGCGCAACGGCGTTTTACCCATACCACTACGACGGCAGTAGCACTTCCTCGTCGCCGTCCCCGCGGTCGCAACGGCTCTCTCGATCCTCGAAGGAAACCACCGTGCGCGGTATCACGCTTCCTCTGCGCCGAATCGCTACGGGTCTACATTCCCGGCAGAGCAATGTATACAACATAGTCAACTCGAAGGACCCGAGCCAAGAAAAGAGCGTGGCCATAGACCAAGATGGCAAGGATCTCAGCTACATGGTCGCCGTGACCTTTGGTGACAGCAAGGAGGAATACCACATGCTTCTGGATTCCGCAGCGAGCAACACCTGGGTCATGAGCCAAGACTGCAAGAGCGAAGCATGTAAAACGCATACTTTGTTCGGCAAGGGTGATTCAAGCACACTCAAGGTACGTCCGCCTCTGGACAGAGGAGATATCACAATGGACAGACCATGCTAATGCACCAATAGCTCGACACCAAACAATTCAGCATAACCTACGGCACCGGCTCCTCGAGCGGCACCCTTGCCTCAGACACAATCCACATCGGCACCTCCCTCTCCTCTCCCCTAACCTTCGGCCTCGCCACCAATGTCTCGTCAGAATTCCGCGCCTACCCTATGGATGGCATCCTGGGCATTGGCCGCGGCGGCGCAGCCAGCGACGGCGAAATCGCCGCCCCACAAATCATGGACGTCCTCTCGTCGAACCGCCTCATCGCCGCAAAACTCTACGGTATCCACCTGAGCCGCGCGAAAGACGGACTGCAAGACGGCGCGCTGGACATTGGCCATATCGACGAGACTCGCTTCTCTGGCGACATGAACTACCTGGACTGCGTAGAAAACGATACCGGCTTTTGGGAAATCCCCTTGCAAGGGGCGAGTGTAGATGGCAAAGACGCCTTATCTTCGGCTTCCAGCAACGGAGCCAGAACCGCAATCATGGACACGGGAACCTCATTCATTCTTGTCCCAGAACCAGACGCCCAAGCCATTCACTCCTCCATCAAAGACCACACGCAAAGCGGCGAAACCTTCTTTGTGCCCTGCGACACGAAAACCCAGCTAGCCTTCTCGTTCAACAACGTCGCGTACAATATTTCGACGGGAGATTGGGTCGGGGAGAAGGTAGAGAGCCAGGGCGGACTGTGCAGAAGTAACATTATCGGCCGGCAGACGTTCAAAGCGAATCAGTGGTTGGTAGGCGATGTGTTTATGAAGAATGTGTATTCGGTATTTGATTTTGAGAAGGAGAGGGTGGGGTTGGGGGTCAAGGGCTCGGAGAAGGAGGTTGAGTCGGCAAGTGCAACTTCATCTGGTACGTTCTCTCCTGTTTTGAACCGGACTCGTGTGTTTACAATTGGAATGTCTTTACTGACTTGATATTGTTATTCCAGGTGCACAATCTTCAGTCTCACAAACAGCTTCCGGTAGTACTACTACTTCAGCACCGAGTTCAACTGCTGTGGCGGACAATGTGGCTCAGGGTCAGCAGGGCAGCAATAGTGCTACGGGTCGCTTTTCATCTCCATCCGCTCTAGTCTCCATGGTAGCGCTTGTTGCGATTTCATTATTCGTATAAAAGAACTTTTTACTCTGGGAGGGGGAGGACGGGGGGCGTTTTTTTTTTCACCGTGTACCATATATTATGGACAAAATCTACAAAAGGGAGGTACATATCTGTACATACATACATATATACATACATATGTACATACATGTATTTATCACGAAGAATACAAGGGAGAAGAAAAAAAAGCAAGAAAAAAAAGCAGTAGCACACGGTTCTGCTCTAACTGGTGTCGGTGTGGGTGCCCGCTGTCATTTTGTGCCTGTGGCTGCTGCTGCTGCTGTCACTACTGTCACTACTGTCACTACTGTCACTACTGTCACTTGTCATAGCCTCGTGACTGTTACTAGCGCTAGTAAGTGATTGCCCCCCCCCCCCCATCTCCCCATGCCAAGTTAATGCTTTATGCCCCCATGCACATGCACATGCTCGTGTTAATGCCTTACGCTGCGGTTTCAGCCTCAGCATACTGCATGAAGTGAGTATAGTGGGTGTGTGTTATAAATGGGGGAAAAAAAGAACACAAATACCATGGATCCAGGTTGACATGTGGTAATGCCATTTGCTAGAGTGAGGCAAGGTAAGCCAATGATTAGAGAGGGACACAAATGAATAGTGGTGCATAGTCGTCGTCGTCGTCGTCATCATCATCATCATCATCACCATCATCACATGTACTACGTTTAGAGAGGGTCAAAATAGAGTGACACAGGAGTAGAGAGCAAAAAAAGCACCGATTATTAGAAAAATCCTACCATTTGCTCAATCTCGATTCCACACGCTCGGAGAAGATAACCCCCCATCATGAACTACCCCAAGATGATGTACGGTCCAAACACACAAAAGATCCAGCACAGTAAACGCCTCGTGTAGGTGCCATGAGAGAGATAGAGAGAGAAAGAGAGAGAGATGGGCCGGGAGCAGTCCGTCGACAGTCGACTCGTCTGCAAACGTCGGCCGGCCATGTTTTTCCACGTCTTGCCCTCTTTCTCGGATAGACGACTATTACACACCCAATAGTCGCGACAGTTATATTGTTGCTTGTCGACGCTCAACAAAGGCGCGGTTGGGGGGGTGGTTGGAACCACCTATGTGCGGTATGCCGCGCTTACAAGATCAAGCACTTCTTGGTCTTCTTCTCTTTCCTGGTCAACAGAGCAGCGCGGGTGGCGTGCTCGAACACTTCCCTGACACCCTCGTTTGTCTTGGCTGAGCACTCAAGGTACTTCTGGGCGCCAATCTTCTTGCGGACATCCTCGGCCTGGGGGAGGGGGCGGAACTTGTTAGTCATGGTTCGTTTAGTGAGGCGGGTGGCGTAGGCTACTGACCTGTTCGGGTGTGACGGGCTTCTGCGAAGTCTTGTGCAGCTCCTCAATCGTCTTCTGGTCAAAGCGCAAGTCCTTCTTGCATCCAACGAGAATGATGGGAAGCCCCTGGCAAAAGTGCAGGACCTCGGAGATCCACTGTGGTGGGTTGTTAGTTAAGCAGGCGAGGGGAGAAACACACGTGCAGGGCGTGGCAGGACGACGTACCTTTTCCTGGACGTTGTCGAGAGAATCGGGCGAGTCGACGGCGAAGCAGATGAGGATGACGTGCGAGTCGGGGTAGGAGAGGGGGCGGAGACGGTCGTAATCTTCCTGGCCAGCAGTATCCCAAAGGGCAAGCTCTACGTGCTTGCCGTCCACCTCGACATCGGCAACGTAGTTTTCGAAAACAGTGGGGACGTAGACCTGCAGGCAGCGTGTCAGTGGATGTTGATGGGGCGGCGGTAATGGGTGATGGGGGTTGTGGATGGCGAGCTAGGCTGACGCGGCTCAGGGATGCGGTGGAGTACTGACCTCGGGGAAAGTGCCCTTTGAGAAGACGCTGTTGGGAGCGAGGTTAGCAAGGAGAACAGGCAGAGCAGTAGAGCAGCAGCGGCAGGTGGAGTGATGGACGAGGAGTGGTGGTAGTAGTAGGAGTAGTAGGAGTAGGCGTAGTAGGCGTAGTTGGGGAGCACGTACATGAGCAGACACGTCTTTCCACAGGCGCCGTCACCGACAATAACAAGCTTTCGTCGAATCTCGGCCATGGTGTCGCGTGTGATGTAGGCGGAGTCGTGGAAGGAGATCTGTAGGCAAGGAGGTGAGTGTGTGGATGAAGGACAGGCGGTGATTGAAGTTGGACAACAGCGGCTTCAGGGTGTTATGGCTGGCGGGCACCATGACCGCAACGGGGGTCGTGCTGCAACGACTGCGGCTGAGCTGCGACCTGCGCCACGCCCACGGTGCTGTGATTACGGGCTAGGGGCGCAGTCATGGGGGAGGGACGTGGCTCGTACCTGGACAGAGGCAGCTGGGCAGAGGCAGCAGCAGTGGTGGTGGAGTTGTTTGGGGAGGGGGAGGGTGTTGGCAGTAGTGGTGGTAGTGGTTGGTGGTGTTGCAGAAGAGAGAGGAGACGGCGCGATTAGCTATCTGCATCGCCGGCCCTGCTGCTAAACCCACCGCGTCCTCCACGGCCGTCGTCACATGACCTCCAAACACACACACACACGCATACGCACACGGTCTGTTGTCCGCCGGGCCGGGCTTGCATGCATTGGATGCTGCTTCTTCAATGCACGCCCACGCACATGCACACACACACTCACTCACTCACTCACTCACTCAGAGATACGCACACACGCACACACGCACGCACACACACACAGGCAAACACGCTCCCTCACAGATTGCCAGACGGACACGCACGCCCAGCAGCAACAAAGAGGGCCCTTTGCACGGCCAGGGCTGCAGCAGTGGGTTTCAGCCTGCATCCCCAACACAGATAGCCTGCCCGTCTCCTAGCGAACGGCCAAGCGCGAACGGGGGTGTTTGGCCGCGCCCCATGCATGCTGCTCCAGCCTACTACGTATGTGTGAATGAATATCTATGACCTTTTGCACATTCATGGTACATGGACTAGACATGACGTACATGGATACATGGACATGATGTACTGGTGGTACACAAGACATAGGTACTTAGACAGGTACATGCACGCAGCAAGTACAGTGAGTGCATGCACATGGCCCATCTATTGCTATGAAAGTACCAGTATACCCCGTACGTACTTGCCGTCTTGTTCACTCATGGACGTGCAGGCCCGCAATGGACCCAAGTGACGTAGTACAAGTACACTGTCGCGCATCCAGGCTGCAACACACCAATAGCTGTGCCGTCATCACCCTGGCTGGCCATGTTCTTTGAGTCGTCCGAGTGTTGGCAGTATGTACTTGTCGTGGTCTACTTACTCTGTGCATGTATGGATGATGAACAGCTCGGCGTGGATCCGGCCTGCTCCCTATCAGCTACCATTACTTATTACACTACTCGTACCCAGCATTTCGTCGCGCTTCGTCGGGGTTCCAGGGCACTAGGCACGTGAGTTGGCGATGCAGGCGGCTGCAGGGCCGGTGGCGGGGCAGCCTAGACATCCACGACCCATCCACCCACGCCTACGGCTGCTGCTGCTGCTGCTGCTATTTACTACTTACTCTTATTACAACTACTACCACTAATACTGTACACAAGCGCTGCATACTACTGCACAGCAGCTAGCTTTATTCTTCCGCTTCCATGTACTACTAGATGCATCACGGCCGTCGTCGTCATCACCACCCCGAGCCCTTCACTTTGCTCCACGTCTTGCTACTCCACCAGCTCCGGTCGACGGCCTGCCGACCTGGCCAACAACACTCGCTGCTGCCCACGCCTGCATTCGCTGCCTAAAGGCCTCTGCCGCCCGCTACTGCCATCGCCATGGCCGACCAAGATCCCAACCAACAAAGCCAGCCCGGCCATGACGATACTCCCATGCCAGATGCAGCGCCCGCGCCCGCGCCTGCCCCCGATGCCATGTCCGATGCTGACAAAGTGAGCTCACCCACCACCCGCCCGCCAAAGAGATCCGCTGACGCAAACATCTCTCAGATCCGTGCAAAGCGCCTTGCAAAGCTCGGTGGTCCCCCTCCGCAGTCGTCTTCAACACCCTCCGAAGCCGCCTCGTCCGCCGCTCCCTCGCCCAAGCCTGCACAATCCCAGCTGTCGCCACCACCACCACCCAAGCCGCAAGCCCAGAGCCAAAATCCTTTTTCACAACTAGGTGTAAAACCCAATGCGCCTCCCAAGAACCCAATCACCATCAAGCCCGCACAGTCCTCAAGCAGTGCCTCTGCCCCCTCACCTGCCCCAAAGGCCCAGGAAATGAGCATAGAAGCATGGGAGGATAGAACGCTTAGCAATATTTTCCGCATAACGTTGGACGAGGCCCACGCCCGGGATTCTCATGGGAACAAGCTCTACTATGTTGCGGGTGCAAAAAGCGATCTCGAGGATGAGGGTCGCCCACTTCGCTTTACCACCGACATGCTCGACTCGGTCATACTAGAGGCGGCATCAAGTCACGCCCACGGTACAGCATTAGACTATCTGCTCGCCTGCTGGAAGCGCGTCACTAGGGTCCTCAAGACCTTGACCAACAAGACTGGTCCTAGGTTTGAGGTTGTCAAGGAAGCTCGGCGACTATGCTTCAGCTACTGCATATTCGCTTTCACTATGCCAGACATGTTTGGTGAAGATGCCCCTGCTGAGAATGCAATGGCTGATCGCCTACTGCTTGGCCCTGACGATGAACGCGGCATTTGTTACGAGTTTCTTACTGAAGCCAGCCAGCGCATAGCCGAAGATGATTCTATAAAGGAGGCGCTCGTGGGCGGCATGGAACACGTAAGCCGCCGTCTTGCTTCGGTCTCAATGAATGGTGATTACAGACAACACATGCTAATCTTGCGGATATTCGTTCGTTTCCCACCACTTGTCGCTGCCCTCGCTCAGTCCGAGACCTTCTTGCCCGCCGACATTGAGCCCCAGCACATTGAAACCCACAGCTTCCTTGGTCCCTTTTTCCGCCTGTCTCCTATGCACCCAGAGGTAGCTATGAACTACTTCTCGGGATCAGCAGCCATTGACAAAGGCCTTGTTGCAAACGCCCAG